TAGATAAACTCACTATTGAAGGTTATGTTAAAAGTAGTAATTTAGTGGATAATATATACAAGGGAATGTATGACTCAGAGGTTGAAAAAGAAAATGATTTGGGCAAGAAAGCTGAGGAAGAAGAGAAGCAAATAATGGATTCTGGATGAAATGAAGACCTTTCCTGTCCAAGGACTGTCACCAGTTCTTTATTACTTGAAGATTAAGGGAACAGAGAATAAAGCTGCCTGTCATACAGCCAAAATTATAAGAATAACATTGTCTCTAAGTGTATCTCAGATCAATGTTTTTAGAAATAACATTCATAAAATTAAATTTTCTATAAAAACTTACTGGAAAATCCAATTCAAATAAAAACAATGAAAATGTCAGTGAAAACTATCACTACATGTGTCAGGAACTTGAACAGAAACATAAGTGTAAGTCAAGTTGGAGAATCACCTAGGGTTATTCTACTTGGTTTTCAAAAAAAAAGGGAGATATAAAACAGACTTGCTAGGAGACTTAGTGGGCTTTCTTTTTGTTTAATTTACTCTATGGGGCAGTACTAAATAAGTATTTTGTTTTGCTACTGGAGGTTCAATAACTTGATACAAAATGCTTTGGTTTTTGAGGCTAAAGAAGTCAAACCCAAGCCACTGATATAGGTCCTGTTCATCTCATATTTATGTGCATGTAATTATGTCTTATGTAGAAAATATAACAAATATACTTAAATATATTTTAAGACATACTTAGATACGTGCTTTAATTGCCATAGCTACCATATGATTCTTCAAGGAAAATGAAGAAAATTTTATTTGATGTTTTACCTATTTTATTTTATTGTCCCTAATATGTACATGAAAGTACTGGACTAGAGGCATAATACACATGACCTCTGAGATTTCAATAATATTTTTATAAATATGTGTAGTGGCGCATTCTGTATTGGCTACTCAGAAGGCAGAACAGGAGAATTGCATGTTCAAAGGTAATCCAGGCAAAGTTAACTAGGCCTATCACAAAAGCAAAAAAAAAAAAAAGAGCTGGGGTATGGACCAAGAGGTAAGGTGCTTTCCTAAAATGCTTGAGGTCTTAGATTCAATCCCCAGTATTGTAAACACTATTTTCATGAAATATCACATTTACTTTATCACTGACACTTTCCGTGTTAGAAACATCCAGAAAATGTGCTTTGACAGTCTTTTTCTTTTGTTGGTCATGAGGCTTGAACTAAGGCTCTGGGCACTGTCCCTGGGTTTTTTCACTCAAGGGTAGCTCTCTACCATTCAATCCAAGCATCACTTCTGGTTTTCTGTTAGTTAACTGGAGATAAGAGTCTCACAGACTTTCCTGCCTGGACTGGCTTCAAACCTCAGTCCTCAGACTTCAGCCACCTGAGTAGCTAGGATTTCAGGTTTTAGCCACCAGAGCCCAGTTTTACTTTGGAAAAAAAAAAAAAAAAATATATATATATATATATATATATATATATATACACACACACACACATATATATACATACACATATATGTATGTATGTATATATATATATATGAAATTTGGAACTTACTTCATAAAAAATGTCTTATATAACTTAAAGAGAAAAATTAAACAATGTAAGGGTTCTGTGTGCAGGTGCATATGTACACATGGCCTAGACAGATTTGGACTAATGCAGATTCAAAGGGAATTCAAGACACTGAGCTAGCTATATGCTCTCTTATATGCTCAAAAAAAAAAAAAAGCAAGGTAGGACTTTTAAAATGAAATAATTAACCTAGGTAAAAAACAGTAGCTTCTAAAAAAGATGTCATTCATGAAGTCAACACAAAAAAAAGTTAAAAGCAGATATTTGAAAAGACTTTATTAAGTTGTTTCTTCCTTTAGTGAATGTACTGATTAGAAAGTGGCTGTTTTTGTATAGAATACTAATATTTTTGTGACCAAAACAGATACTGAAATATTTCATATAAAAACCTTAATTAAGCCAGTGCAGTAGCTCACACCAGTAATCCTAGCTACTAGAGATGACAATTTTGAGACTATCCCAGGTAGAATGTTCAAAACATAGAAACAATAGAAAAAGCTGAACATGAGAGCATGTGCCTATCATCCAGGTAGGGTGGTGAAGGAGATGTGAAACAGGAGAATCAAGGTTTAAGCCAGCCAGGTAAAATAGCAAGACACTATCTCAAAAATGACCAGAACAAAAAGGGCTGGAGGCATGACACAAGCAGTGTAACATCTACCTAGCTAGCAAGCATGAATCCTTGACTACAAACCCCAGTACCACAAAAACAAACAGACAAAAACAAAACAAAACCCTACCTAATTTAATCCCGTCAGCAATACTCTAAGTAAGATAGGTAAATTTATATTATCAACTTGTTTGAGTCACAGTGTCCAGAAATTGGATATTTCTCTGAAGATGATTTTGGAATGACAAACATTTAAATTAGTAGACTCTGAGTAAAGCAAATTATTCTTCAAAATTGGTAGGCTAGGCTTTATCCAATCAGTGAAAAGTTTAATAGAACAAAACCCATCATTAAATAAGAAGGATCAAACTGCAACTCTTCTTCCCTGAAAATTTAGCTTTTCAGCTTACCACAACAGTGAAGGATCCTGCAATTGTGTAAGCCAATTCTTCATAATATAATCTCTGTGTGTGTGTGTGTGTCTGTCTCTGTCTCTCTTCTCTCTCCCCCTTCACAACCCCTTTCTCTCTCCTTCTCTCTACGTAAGCATGCATACATGTCCACACACACAGGCACAGTCTTCCCTCAGCTGTAGATTCACTTTCAATTATTTCAGTTACCTATGATAAATTAGTGTATTCTCAAAATAAGTAATTCTTAAGTTTTACATTGTGGGAAATTCTAACAATATGAAGAAATTCTCATCCAGCCCATTCTGTCTCACATGGGTTAATAATCCTTTGTCCAGCATATGTATTCACTTTATGTATACTACCCATCTGTTAGTCCTTTAGTAACTGTCTTGGTTATCGACCATCTGTAACCATGTTGCACTGCATGTGTTTTAGCCTTGTTATACTTTTTTTTTGGGGGGGGGGGTCTGGTCGTGGGGCCTGAACTCTGGGCCTGGACACTGTCCCTCAGCTCTTCAGCTCAAGGCTAGTGCTCTACCACTTGAGCCACAGTGCCACTTCTGGCTTTTTTCTTATGTGGTGCTGAGGAATCGAACCCAGGGCCTCGAGCATGCAAGGCAAGTGCTCTACCACTGAGCCACCTTCCCAGCCCCTTAGCCTTGTTATACTTAAAAATGACTCCAAAGCAAATGACTTGGCAGTTCAGATATGCCAAAGAAAGCCCATAAAGTACTTCCTTTAAAGTCAAAAGATTAAAGTTTTTGACTTAGTAAGGAAAGAAAATAATTGAATGCTATAATCAGTTTATATAAGATCCAATACTATCCATAATTTCAAATATACAATGGAGGTCTTGGAACATACCTTGAAGACAAGGTATGGGGGAGGGGGCTGTTATATCTTCTATGTATACACAAATCTATAGTAGTTTGTGTATACATGTTTAAAGCGTGGTGCCAAGTATGACAATGCTGAGAAAGGTTGGTGGGCTTTTAACAAGTAGGGCCTGGCAGAAAGTAATAAGGCCACTCAGAATAAGCGTGCTGTTCCCAAAAGTATCTTGTATAGTCCTTGTAAGAGAGCTGCTAAAAAAGAACAAGGATGTCTTTTTCACTCTTACTTCCTATCTTACATTATGATTTCTTTCTTTCATATGTGCTCCTCCCATGATGCTAAACATCGTGGTATCATATTTCCAAGAGCACCTTCACAATAGTTGCTACCATACTATTTGACTTTCAGCCACCAAACTTGAGCTATATAAACCTCTTTTCTTCAAGTTATTCAGACTCAGGTATTTTATTACAGTTACTGAAACTCTACACACACACACACACACACACACACACACACACACACACACACACACTGAAAGACAGGTGGTTTTATTTCACACACACACACACACACACACACACACACACACACACACACACACACACACACACACTGAAAGACAGGTGGTTTTATTTCTCTTGAGATCCCTCACTAATACAGCAAGTTACTGGAAAATTAGGGAAAAGAAAATAAGAAACAGAAATTTAGATCCATGCCTTGAAATCCAGTCATTCCTGAAAAGATTACAAAATTTCCAGGAAACTATACTTGGATTCAGTTTTCATACCTTAACTACTTAGCTAGCTTAAATTCTTAAAACTATGATGATTTAACAAAACTAATCAATTATGGCAAATAATTTGTCAAAATCACCAAGATAAATTAAGCATGAAACAACACATGCAGAAATATATACCCAAAAAAGTAAAAACCATGTCCACTTAAAACTTATACATAAATGTTTACACTAGTCATATTCACTAGAGCCATACATTTTTAAAAGCATAAATGTCCATTAACTGAAAGTAGATAAATACAACATAGTATAGTCATGCAAAAAGATGGCTTAGCCATAAATAACACCAAAGTAAACAATGGGAGAGAAGCAGAGCCCAGTGGGAGAATGATTGCCTAAGATGCCTAAGGCCTTGAGTCTGACCCCTAACAATACAAAAAGAGGTGGGGCAGTGGGAGTGAGCAAAGTACTGTCATGCTACAACACAGGTAAGCCTTGAAAACATGTTAAGTAAAAGGTAAAAGCAAGGGCCCACATATTACATAAAGCCATTGATACAAAATGTCCAGAAATGGAAAATCTATGAAGATGAAAAAAAAATAGGCTATTGTTTGTCAGACACTGAGGAAAGAAAATTAAAGGGGACTGAATATCAATGCCAAAGTGTATGAAGTTGCTTACAGCAGAAAAGGAAACATTCATAAGTTAAATAGTGGTGATGATGGTAAATATTATCACTACAGTATATACCACTGAATTATATACTTTAAAATGGTGACCATAAGACCAGGCAAAGTGTATTTCTAAGAAATAAAAAGCAAATGGACTCACCTGCCCTTTTTGTGGTGCCAAACAATGAATAACTTCATCTACCATTACTGGAATATGTAAGTTATTCATGACTTTAGAATCACTGTCTTGAGATCTGTCTAACTCCTGAGCTTTAGTTTTGTCTGTTGATTCTTGGGCTTCATATTCACATCTTTCTGCTGTAGTATGTATTTTCTTTTGCCAGACACCTAAATTACGTATGCCAGATTCCAAAGAAGATGAAAACAATTCTTTATGTATCCTACAAAAATATAAGTATCGAAGCATCCTGTAGGTCAATAAATCTAGAAAAGAAAATTAAAATATGATTTTTGCTGGATTCTTAAATAGATGTTATAATATTTGGGAGGAAGCAAATTAATATGAAACCTTTAATATATCAAAAAAGTATCATCTGAACAAGAAGATTTACTTGCTCATGTTAAACAAGGTACCTATGAAAACATGTAATGATAACATAATTTTAAATGTGGCTTCATAAGTGCTAACACCATTAACATTTTAACCATCAGGGATATAGAAATTCATTATTCATTCATCATTTCACATATGCTTTTTAATTTTACTTTATTCTAAAGAGTACCTCCAATGACTTAAAATAATTTATTTAAAAATCTATCTAGATGACTAAAGGGATTATAAATTTCCCAGCTTATATTCAAGCAGTATTTTAATGTAAATTTTTCTATTTGATTTTTCCGTAATGCTAAACTTTCATTTTCTTTTTCTTTTTTTTTTTTTTTTTTGGGGGGGGGGGTCCGGTCGTGGGGCCTGAACTCTGGGCTTGGGCGCTGTCCCTCAGCTCTTCAGCTCAACGCTAGCGCTCTACCACTTGAGCCATAGCACCACTTCCGGCTTTTTTCTTTTTGCTTATGTGGTGCTGAGGAATCGAACTCAGGGCCTCAGGCACGCAAGGCAAGCGCTCTACCACTGAGCCACCTTCCCAGCCCTAAACTTTCATTTTCGATTTAACCTGCATGACCTTCTATCTAGAGTGAACATGTATACAAAACAGTTTTTAAAGATGATCAGTCTGTAAAAATTCTACAGATTTTTCACAGATATTCTCTGACAAAACTATCTCATCACAACCTATTATCAGTGAAATATATACAAATTTAAAGCACAATTTTACAAACACTGACCTAAACACATGTTGATATTTCATATTTACCTCTTTTAGCTTCTATTTATTTGTTTATTTATTTAGTGTTGTTGGAGATCAGTGTGTAGGCATGCTAAGTATACTCATATCCTCTGTGCTATGCCTCTATACCCCCACTTGTAATTGTCTTTTCCCTATGCCCAAAGAATCAAACAAAAAACAAAAGTACATTTCTATAGTTTCTCATGTCTTCATTTTCTTCTGCAATTTATAATTCTTACCAACTTAGAACAGAAAACAAAGATACTTATAAAATATGTTAACAAAAGACCTTTTGAAAACATTGTCTACTTTATCCAAATGGCTTCAAAATGTGTTTTCCATACTATCACAGACAATACCCAATTCATACAACTTTTTTCTCCATGGATTATGAGTTATTTAAGAATAAGGCTCATACCTTTATATTCACAAAATCAGAACGTAAACTAGATGCTTAATAAGTGTTTCCAGGAAGGCAAAAAAAAAAATAAAAGTGATTGGATGGATAAATTTCAGACACCAGAAAAAAAACATTTTCATCAATTATATCTTATAGAAATTTCATCTATCTGCACAACTATGTTTATTGCAGCATTATTTATCATAGCTAAGATATGGAACCAACCCAGATGCCCCTCAGTAAATGAATGGATCAAAAAAATGTGATATATATATATATATATATATATATATATATATATATATATATGTCCTTCTAGAATTGCCCCATTTGTTAGGAAATGGAAAGACTTGGAAAAAATTATATTAAGTGAAGTAAGCCAGGCCCAAAGAAACATAGGTCCCATGGTTTCCCTTATTTGCAGTAACTAGTATATATGACTGAGACAAGCAGAAACGGTCAGATAAGTTGATGTTAGGCGAAATGAACCCCAAGATAAGGATTCAAATGTTTTTTAATTTCTTGCTATTGTTTCTAACATATTTATTAGATGATTTCTTTGATTTCTTTGTTGCCTTGTATGTTCCTCCCCCATGGTATAACCCCTGTTTTAACTGTATTTGGTGTTGGTATAATTTGTGGAGGAGGAGGGAAAAAACAAATTGTTTAAATAGGGATACAGGTGGACCCATTGCAACAATGAGATGTGCAAGACATTATGTTGAAAAATGAACTTTACAACTTTGGCAAGGGGGAGGGGGAGGGGGAGGGCAATGGGAAGGAATGGGAAGGGATGGGAAGGGGAAACAAATGCTTGATAAGGAGGCAACAATGCTTGATAAGAAATGTACTCATTACCTTGCTTATGTAATTGAAACCCCTCTGTAGGGTATTTTCACAATAAAATAAATAAATATATATATATAAATAGAAAAATAAAGAAATTTCACCTATCTGGCTCCATCAAAAACCACTTATTTTTAAAATATTGAATACCTAAATACCATTTAAACATGTCTTCCTTGTTTGAAATAGAAACTGCAAAATTGCCCACATGTATTGATTAAAACAACTGACAATTACACAAATATGAATAAGCTGTTTCCTTAAGGATGATATGTCAACTTCAATAAAGACATGATCCACAGAATTACATGAGAATTTAACACAACAAAACTATGGCAAAAAAAAAAAAAGTAAATTATAGAATTGGGAACAAGTTTCAAAAGGGTGATAATGTGCTTACCTAGAAGAACAAGACCCTGAGTTCAGTCACCAATACTGGCAAAAAAAAAAAAAAAAAAGTAAATGAAATAAATCTTTTAAAGGACATTAAATAGCAATGAATTAGCCAAATTGTTACTTATGGCTCAATTTTGCACAAAGATTTTCCACAAATCCAACTACCCTAAATTTTTCAATGGCCAACTTATTGGCACTTAAGAAGTGTTTGTTACTATAAGAAGTTCTGAATCATTCAATCTTTACCATAACATGTTTTATTATTTATAGACAAGTTAAATAACTTGACAAAAATCACACAGCTAAACAGCCACAGAGCTATATCTATAAGAAATACTGTCTTCAAATCCTGAAATCTTAGACCTCATGTTTTAAACATAATTCACTAGAACTATGTAATGTATTGATGTAATTTAATTGTCCTTGGTGCTGATTATGTGTGTGGTATCTCATAAATTAAGGTTTTGTTTTTGTTTTTTAATGGAAGCAGCATTCTACAGCTTTAGCCTTGTTCCATTTGGCAATAACAGTATGCTGTGGAGTAATCAATAGTGGGCATACAGTGTTTAGGCCTCAACAGTGGAATCTGCAATATGTAAGCAATCCTCACTCTGTCCACATTTTGATGGTTTAAAAAGGGGGGTACATTAGTTCCAAAATAGATTCAGAACCACAAGGAACAAACAAGTTGAAAAATGAGTACAAAAATGCTCCTATGCACAGTTTCTATGAACGTACTCCACTATGCTTAAGGTAAAGAAAAAAAAAAGCCTGACAATTTTGTTATGAACTATTTAGCAACTAACATAAGTAAACATGAAGAAAATGTTTGATTTTCCTCTTTGGTTCATTTCCCTGGAATACCTCTTTTAAAATTATGAGGACAGGTTCCTTTAGGGAATTCCTTCTGGGCATCGCAGACAACCCAAAGCTCTCCAGGAAGTCTTCTAAGGGCCAACTACTTTAAATGATTTAAGATTAAGTTCCTTCTAGTTTTAGGACAGGACAAAAATCTTAAATCTGACTGTGGAGCAGAGGATGCTATGTCCTATGTAACTCAGTAAACTTTTCTCTACCAGCAAGCCTTCACTTTAAAAGATGACAAGATTTGGCCATGTCTTCATTGTGGGAATACGAAGGTTCCCTGGTGCCTGTAAAGAGTGCTTCTTCCTCAAAGGTGCTAATGATCATTGCAGTCCATTTTCCACAGGCAGAGGAATTCCATTACATTAAATTACTTTTAAAATGTAATTGTTGAAGGGGAGGGGGAGGGGAAGCGCCCTAAATGAAGGATGGAGCCCAAACACAAAGAAAGTGAAAGAGGTTCTAAAGAAGGAAGAACGCACCCTATTGCCTAAGAGTCAGACTCAGATCAAGAAAGAAGAAGAAAAGAAAAGAAAAAAAAGCTGGAAAACTGTGAAACTCCAGGTGGAGAGGGTGCGGGAGGGAGGACGTGGGAGGAAGGAGCGCCTATTTCCTCCGCTGGGACTTAGGGTTGGGGAACCCGGCGGCCCCGGGGGCAGGACTCGGACGAGGGAGTGTGTTTTTCAAAATGAGCACCCGAAACTGGGCCACCTTCTCCTCACCTGAGGCACGAAGATTTCTCAGTCGGCCTCGAACTGGGGCCAGCGATGGCCCCTAGGTTTCGTGGAGCCACTTGGCCACCTGGATAGGTCGCAGGCCGCCTGGGGGAAACTTGTAAGGACGGACAGATCGGCTCCACGTCCGTCCCAGCAACCAACGCCCGTCCTCCTTTGGTTCCGCCACTTCCCAGCCCCGCTGCCAGGGGGTCTTTACAACGAGGCTGAGGGTTCCAAAGAACTTTCCTGCAGGAAAATAAACAAGACATCACTTTGACTTTTTTTTTTTTTTAATTTCCGAGGCAGCTTAAGATGCAACTTTTCATGTCTCCCCTACTCTGGGGTTTACTATGAACACATATTGAATGTGTATATTTACTAGCCACTGTTATTTAGTACTCTGGGTTTTTTTTGTTTTTTTTTTTTTTAACAAAACATGGAACTTTCTTCTTGGCTCTACGTTTTTCCAAACATTTTTTTTTTCATTCCAAGACACAACGCTCTGTTATCCTGTCATCTCCTCTTACTGTCCTACTAAAGAAAGGTAAGCCTGCTGGCATAGTAATAACCATTGATTGTAATGTCAAAATCTCTCTGATTATCTCAAGAACATGGACTTCATGATCTGACCACTGCTATATGGAGAGTGTGATGCTGAAAAAACAGAAATGTAAAGTACTTAGCTTAGGTAAAAAAACGAATGAACCCCGAGGATTTGATAAAAGAATACATTTTATAAACACTTCAATTTTCATGTTCACTTATCATTGCAATTTTACAACTAAGTGGCAAAATATGCATATGTTTAGACTAGATTAAAATATCAGCGTATGTCATTTAGTCATTAGTATTTTAGAGACAAAGAGCTGAATTCTGAATTGGCCTGTTTGTATGATTCAAGATAAACATTTTCCTTTAGAGATTTTCTTAAACTTGTTTTGTCTCAATAAAATAAAGGTAATATCCATGTATAATGAGCTGTCTTGAGAATTAAATGAGATACATGGAATAATTAATAAAAAATGCCTGAGAAATCAAGGTGAAGTATTATAAAGTCTGGATATATTTGAAATACAAATGAAAAGGTGCCTGAATTTATTACTAAACCCACCATCACATAGATAACTATTCCATTAGCTGAGAGATATAGAATTCTGCCAGATATATTTACTTATGATCTACCCCCCTATTCAGAAACAATCAGATATCATAGACAGTGTTCCTGATTTTCTTCAGTAGGAATACACGTCCATAGTCTTTTGGTTTTCAATACTTTGTTTTATATATAATACTCTGCACTAGTACCTTTATTTCTAATGAATATCTGACAATGAATCATAAGAATATAAACTCCAAGAGGGTAGAGATTTTAACTGTAGTGTTTCCTTTGTGTCTCTAAAATCCAAAATCAATATTAGCTGAATGAATGAATACAAAGGTTATATAAAGAACAATGAAATTCAAATCATAATACTTATTCTATCCACAGGGGTGGGTGATGGGATGTAACTCTGTAAAATGTTTGCCTAGCAGGTATAATGCCCCAAATTGGATCCCAAGAACCACAAAAATTAAAATATAAAGATAAGTTATCCGGCAAAAATATCTACCACTCTTCTACCAGACATTTTTCCCTTTATGAGGTATACACTCTGAAATAATACCTACAATGCCGACTTAAAAATCACTATACAATAACCAAGTAGGCCAATATCTTTAAATGCATTTATTTTATAATACTGTACCATCATTAGAGAATGTAGAAAGTAATGAAATACTAGTTTCATGAAGCTAATGGAAGCAGGCCTAGGAGACTTGACAAATGGACTCCAATTAACTGAAGAGGCCTCACACCTTCCAGAGCATAAGACCTATGTCTTAGAGGCATCCCTGATGTGCCAGGGAAAAGGAAAAATAAACATCCAGAACCCGTTAATCCACGCCCGACAGGACCCGCCCCTCCCGCTAGCAGGGGACACCTTCCACCCCCTCAATAGAATCATGTCACTCACACCCTGAACCCTGCATCCCAGGTCTGTTTGGCTTACAGACGATTCCAGGTGGCTGCCTTCCACCTGCACCTCCGGTCTAGCCCCGCCCACCTTAGCCACCGCCTCCGGAAACAAGCGCGCGCGTTGCCACAGCGACGGCCTGACCAAGCCTCTTCCCACTCCCGTAAAGCCGCAGAAACCTCTGGCGCCAAACTACAACGCGCCGTTGCAACGTAAAGCGTGGTGACGTCACGCGGACAGTAGCCAATGAGAGGGGGTCCTGGAGAAGCTGGCTTGGTTTTGAATCTTGTGGCTGACTTCGGAGGGCCGGGACGCCAGCACTGAAGTGAAGTTGTGGTACTCTCTCCTTTTGGGCCGGGGGTAAGTGAGACGCGCGTGGAGAAGCAGGAGTCTGGTCTGTGGGACGCTCGTTTCGATGGGGCGGAGGGTCTGGCCGCTGCCGATCTGGAGGCTCGGAGGGGCTTGTTGACAAACACGGAAGCGTTGGCGGCGGGGACGCCTGGGCGGCCTGGAGGGTCCCCGGAAGCATGGCTCCGCCCGATCCGGGGCCGGGGAGGGAGGGAGCTTGGGCTTCAGATTCTGGGAGGAAGCCGGAAGTTTTAAAGGGTGTCGGTGCCCCGTTCTCAGGTGGGGGCCGAGGTCCTTTAACTGCCTGGTAGTGTTCCGTTCTGTACGGATTCCAAACTCGGAAGCCTCTGTGGACAAAGTGCGTGGACTTCGGGGCTGTATTGATTGCCCGGTGGAGAGACTCCCGTCGTCGCCACCTAAAGTTGCGGGGCGGGGGGGGGGGTGGGGGGGGGAGAAGGGGATGTTTTGGCTTCTTTTTTTTTGCTTGCTCGTTTGTTCTTGTCTGGAGAGGTTCTGCCGTTTAGGCTGTTGAAATAGTATATTTTTGCCTTTATTGGATTCTATTTGAAAACTAGCTGTCATTCTTCCATAGGTTGTAAATCAGTAGCAGCAGTAGGCTCTAAAACTGAAGTTAGTATTCTAAAGAGAAATTTACATGAAACTATAAATGAGGATAATTTCCATTCCTTGGAGTCAGACCCAAATTTGAGTTTGTATTTAAGGAATTAACTATATCACCAGATCACTCTACCTCCCTCACCACACTGGACGCATTCTTTTCTGATTCTAGTTGTGAAGAATGTGGAGTTTTGATTAGGTCCTGGAGTCATCTTCTGGCTCCCTACTTAATTATCTGTGACCTGGAAAAATTAAAGTTGAATCCCTGCATTTGTAAAGTGGCAACACTAAATACCAACCCCTTTATGTAATTATTGTGAAGATTGAATGAGGGGATGAAAGTCAGGTATGTATCACAGTGCCTGGCACATATACAGTGACTCAAATTATGATCATTGTTGTCCCTTGTCATTAGTTATAGTCATGCCGGCCCAATCCAAGGATTCTTAAAAACATGCCTGCTAAGGATAGCCATTGTATGATAAATGACAAATGTAGGTGAAATTATTGTTATATTTTAACATTCACACAAAAGCACCTGCACTAAGTTGGAGGTTTCTATGAAGAGGAAAATGTAAAAGTGCTTAATAGGAGCTGAGAAATGGGGAGAATGGGGGGAAGTTAACCAAACATACAGACTTCAGTTCATAGGATCTAAAGTGTAGCACATAGTCGGTGATGAATTTATTAATTTGATTGTTGTAGTTATTACACAATCTATACATACATTAAATCATATATCTTGAATATATTCAATCTAAGATATTTTGAGGTGGAAAGTATAGTTTTAATTTCTGTGAGAAAATTTCTGAGTGCCTCTACATGAGTAAATTGCTTTTGGGTTTTATGTGTATGTTCAATTCATATATTAACTGTATCCTTGAGAATTGTGTTCAAACTTGCTGTGTTAAAAGTGATAAAATCCATCTACAAATTTTAAGGCTTAAAACTGCACTTAGATGATAAGGACAACCTTTATTTATTTCCTTGACTTGGTTTCCCTCCGCCTTTACATTTCTACCTGGATATTTGTTAAAAATGAACTTCGGATTTCCTAACAGACACTTTGAACCCATGCCACCCTCAATATTTTTAAAAATTTTTATTGTAAAGATACTGTACAGAAGAGTTACAGTTACATGACTAAGGTAATGAGTATATTTCCTATCTAGCATTGTTACCCCCTCCTTTGTTTTTCCCCTATATCCCTTCCCTTCCCCTCCCCAACCTGTACAATTGTATAATTCGTTTTTAACATAGTGTCTTGTACATCTCATTGTTACAATGGATCAACCTTTATCCTTGTTTCAGCATTTTGTTATTTCCCTTCCCCTTCCCCAATTAGAAAAATGTGTATACAAGATGCAGGGCACCAGAATCAAATACAGTGACAATACTGTGGGGGAAGAACATACAAAAGAAACAAAAAAATCACATAGTAGATTCAAAACAGCAGCTTGTGTCCATATTTTGGGGTTCATTTTGCCTAGCATCATCTTATATAGTCATATGTATATAGCTTTTGACCTTTTCTGCTTGTCTGCTAAGATTATCCTAGACATATACTAGTTATTGCAAATAAGGGAAACCATGGGACCTATATTTCTTTGGGTCTGGCTTACTTCACTTAATATAATTTTTTCCAAGTCTTTCCATTTCCTAACAAATGGAGGCATAACATTGTAGTGTGTGTGTGTGTGTGTGTGTGTGTGTGTGTGTGTGTGTGTGTGTGTGTATACCATATTTTCTTGATCCATTCATCTACTGCATCCTCAATATTTTTTTCATCTGAATATCTATTTCAACTCAAGCCAACTTAATTAATTGGAATATTATTTCCTTTCTTTCCTCACATCCATATTTACCTATCTGGAAATATTGTCTACTTTCAGAATAGATACAGAATCTGACCACTGTGCTCCTAATGCCTGCTTCTGAGTGGATAGCATGTTGAATATATTATTTCAGTGGGTTAATCTCTGACCTCTATTTATATTTCTACATAGCAGTAAACATAATCATGTAACACTTCTAGGCTCAGAACCAACCAATTTTTATTTTATTCTGAGTATAATCCAAATTACCCTCCCCCTCTACACTTTATTCCTACTTGGCTCACACACTTGGCCAGCATCATCCCAGTGTCTTTCTATTAGACATTCTCTCCATCAGAAAGTGCATCTCACAGAACATGCATGGCTAAACTTCCTCACCTCTTTTTAAAAAAAATTAACGTAGTGTACAAGGAATTTCATTTTAGCATGTCTATTTCTATAAACAATACATTTTGGTCAGTCACCTCCTACTTCATTCTCCCTCCTCTTCCTTTCCCTTTCCAGACAAGATAAAGCAAGTTTCTTTGTTCCATTTCACTCATGTACATAAACTATTTTGACTATATTGTCATCCTTCTTCTGTCTTCTGACCCCTCCCACTAGGATGTGAATCTCAACACATTTCAGCTTCCTAATATTCACTTTTATTGAAATGCATATTGTCAAAGGTGGATTTCACCATGGGTCTCACATGTATGTACCATATTTTAATGATTGATCAAGAGGTACAGCAAATACATAGCAATTTCTTTTTTTCCCCCCTTGGTCGGTTGTGGGGCCTAAACTCTTGGCCTAGGCACTGTCACTGAGCTCTTCAGCTCAAGGCTAGTAGTGCTCTACCACTTGAATCTCAGTGCCACTTCCGGCTTTTTTTTTCTGCTTATATGGTACTGAGGAATCGAACCCAGGACCTCATACATTCAAGGCAAGCACTCTACCACTGAGCCACCTTCCCAGCCCCAATACATAGCAATTTCAAGACCCTGAGTTTAAGCCCCGGTTCTGCCATGAATTAAAAAAAAAAAAATAAGAGAATGCTAGGTGTTGTGGCGCATGTAATTCTAGCAACTTGGGGAGCAGGAGGTTCACAGTTTGAGGCAAACCCAAGGAAGCCATTCCTAAGACCCCCTTATCTCAATCAATAAAAATCTTTCATCCCTATCACATAGAAAGTCTCAATAAAATCACAGAGCAGGCCAGCCCCATATTAAAGGAAGGCTGTATTTGAAAGATAATCAAAGCCAAAAGGAATGGTGGCATAGAACAAGTAATAGAAAGTTTGCCTATGGGGGCTGGGAAGGTGGCTCAGTGGTAGAGCGCTTGCCTTGCATGCCTGAGGCCCTGGGTTCGATTCCTCAGCACCACATAAGCAAAAAGAAAAAAAGCTGGAAGTGGCGCTGTGGCTCAAGTGGTAGAGTGCTAGCCTTGAGCTGAAGAGCTGAGGGACAGCGCCCAGGCCCAGAATTCAGGCCCCATGACCGGCCCCCCCCCCCACCCACCCCCAAAAAAAAAAAAAAGAAAAGAAAGTTTGCCTAATAAGCACTAAGCCCTGAGTTCAGACCTCAGTACTGCTGGGGAAAAAACATGCATACAATATATTATTTTTATCGTTAATTTGCTCATCTTGCAGTGTATAATATGTTCCTAAAACTGAATAGTATTTCATTCTGTGGGATATGACACATTTTTGAATTGTTAGTTGTTGGGCATTTAATTTTTTCCCATATCTAGGTTATGAATAATACTACAACCGAAATATAATGATTTTAGAAGCATAATGGTTTCAGTTTCTTTTCATATATGCTCAGGAGTGAGATTGCTGGATCCCAGTAGCTCCTTCACATTGTTCTAATCCTTACTCAAATGTTCTTGTTTGGGAGAAGAGGCCATATGTTCAGAGAATAGAATCTCCCTGAATATACCACAATACATACAATTTCTGTCACCTTCCAACCTTAGCTAGCAGTTGATATCTTCTTGAAACTATTTTTAACCCTTTATATTTCTGTGATACAGCTTAAGACTACTTATTGCTTCTCACTGCCAATAGGTTGCTGCTTGTATCACTTTTAGGAGTTCCCATGCTAAAACTTCCTCATCAGTATCCTGACATGATTCTAACAGATCTTTTCTTTTCCATTTTTAGAACATAGACGGACAGAATGCTGGAGCCATTTATCAGAATCAAAGCTCTTTGAGGTGGCATAGCTGATCCATGATTCAGCTATATTATTTTGAGTTTAAGTTTATACCCAGTGTCTGATTAATATTTCAAATAAAGTTAAAGAGATTTGTATCATGTTTTTTGTGTATGTACATGCTATTTGATTTTTATTTAGGCTGTTTATATGAATAGGTATAGGTGTATATGGGTATACATATTTTCTATATTTAGTAAGTGACGCTAGATTGTGGAAGAAAACTAACACCTTTTTTGGATGAATACTACTTTCAAATTAGAAGTCAAAATAATATTAAAATTTTATTTTCCTTTTTAATTTCATAGAAATATCAAGCATTCATATAACAAGAAATCAAGTTGACCAACAATGTCTGTTACTGAAGAAGACTTATGTCACCAAATGAAAGTAGTTGTTCGTGTACGCCCTGAAAACACAAGAGAAAAAGCAGTTGGATGCCGTAAAGTGGTCCATGTTGTGGATAAACATATTCTAGTTTTTGATCCCAAACAAGAAGAAGTCAGTTTTTTCCACAGAAAGAAAGTTACAAATTTTGATGTTACAAAAAGACAAAATAAAGATCTTAAATTTGTATTTGATACTGTCTTTGATGAAACTTCAACTCAGATGGAAGTTTTTGAACATACTACCAAGCCAATTCTTCGTAGTTTTTTGAATGGATACAACTGCACAGGTAATTTTGGTATTTTTCCATCTGACTTCAATTTTCTACATAATGGCCCTTTAATTAAGTAGTTATAAATCCCTGAACATTATTATTTATATCTTATTTTTGTCATAATCAGTCTTTTTATGACATATCCACAATATATTTCATGGTTATAACGAGTTTACAATCACTGATTCATTCAGTGTGTTTATTTTTATTGTCATTATAAAGTTGATGCACTGAAGGGTTACAGTTACATAAGACAGGTAAAAAAGTACATTTCTTGTTGGACTGTGTCACCCCTTCCCTCGCTCTATCCCAGTTTTTCCCTCCCATCCTTACCTACAAGTTATATAGTTCATTTTAAACATAATATCTGGTATGACTCACTCAATTATATCACAGAAGAGTGTACCTCTTGATCAAAGTAAGAATGGAATGTGATTTATTGATTAGCACATGATTTTCAGTTTTAAGCAGATAGTCTTTGTTCTATTTCATATTGTCTCAGAAGTTTTTTTTTTTTAACTTCAAGAACAAAAGATCTCTACTAGTGCTAAATCTGGTTTCTCTTTGGCTTATCCAGTTATTTCAAAACATTTTCATACCAACTTACATAAAATAGAACAACACAAAATATAGATCTGTTTAATTCATTATACGAAAAAAATATTTTATCAACTAGTAATGTCAGAAAATTTAATACTTCTGTGTATTGGACATTGGACATTTGTAAATCTAAGAATAAATTATAAGAGAATTTTGTAAATGGCTTCTACATGTGATTCATTTGTTCAACAACTTGTATTCCTGTTTCTGTCAGGTGATTTGCTAAGGCACAAAAGGATATATTGCCTAGGTCTTGGTGAAGCTCACAATTAGAATACAATATAAGACATGGTAAAGTAGAAGGACATGGATGTGTAACATATACTGAGGGAGAAAATGAGTAGGTAGACATTGCTGCCTATTATGAAGGAAGAAACAAGAAAATGGCATTAATTCTCATGTAGGAACACATGGTTTCTACTGGGTTTAAAGTCAGTGTTCAGGATATACAGATAGAATTATTTATCCCTAGACAGTAGATAGAGTAATGTTATGTTATAACAAGGAGCTTTGATACCTTTATATCTTTTCATAAAACCTCAGTACTTGCATATGGTGCCACTGGAGCTGGGAAGACCCACACAATGCTAGGATCACCTGCTGAGCCTGGAGTAATGTACTTAACAATGTTAGACCTTTACAAATCCATGGATGAGATTAAAGATGAGAAAGTATGTAGTACTGCCGTTTCTTATCTGGAGGTAAGTTGTCAGTATTACCCCCCCATCACCCCAATACCTTTCTTTAACTTTCTTTCTTTGGTTACATAGATCATTCAAATTATTATTTATTTACTTATTTTGTCTATTGTGTGGCTTGAACTCTGGGTCTGGGTGCTGTCCCTCAGTTTCAGCTCAACGCAAGCGTTCTACCACTTGAGCCATAGCACCACTTTGAGTTTTCTGATGGTTTATTGGAGATAAGAGTCTCACGGACTTTCCTGCCCAGTCTGTCTTTGAACTGCAATCCTCAGATCTCAGCCTCCTAAGTAGCTAGGATTCACAGGTGTGAGCCACTGACGCCTGGCCAAATTATTTTATACAGTAATTTTGTCATGAATGTTTACAATTATTAACATAGCTTCCATTGAGTATTTTTTGTTCATCTTATTCTTTTTCTGTTCAGATTGTAAGAATAGTAGAACTTATAGATAGTCTTCATTCACATGCTCCATTTTTTAACATTTACTTCCTATCTCTGTATGCATATATTTTTTAGAACTATTTACTTATCTAATCTGTAGATGTCAAGAGATTTTTCCTAATTCTATTAATGCCCTTTACTATGGAACAAAAATCTTAAGTCATTGATTTATATTCAGTCTTTTTATGACACTGCTGTAAAAATCCTGATTTCGGGTGTGTCAATAGATATGAAGTATCTACTGACAAAGTATACCAGTGATGTTGAATTTTTATTCCTTCATATCAAGATGTTTATGTGGTTGGTTGGTCCCATTACTAGTAATTTTATCTTTGATAAATTTCATTTATGCTGGTATCTGTAGGTTTGCTCTAAAATTTTTGGTACTATCTTCTATAATTAATGAGTTCACCTGATACTGAGATGATGTAAATATCCTCTCATCATTAGTATTGACATTCGCAGATGATAGATAACTGAGTCAATTATTATGATGATGATAGATGATGATAATTTTTAAAGTCTGTCATTTCTTCTGGAATTATTCATTGGCTTTTGACTATAAGGAAGAACATTGTTTCTTTTATTAGATCAGTTGATGATGATCCCTTTTTATGATTATTTTAGTGTGCTCAAATTATTTCAAGATTTGTCTGGTTGAAACACCTTTCATACTGTTTATTGCGTCCTTTTGTCATACTGTCACCATTGTTTGAGAGTTCTTATTCTTTTAATAATTTCTGATATTTTTGTAAATAGTAACTAATGGAAGACTGTCTGACTTTGCATTTAGATCATGTTTTAGAAACCAGTTTAGAAACAAATCCCTAATTTCACAGCGTTAATAGACACTCCTGATGTTAGAAAACTTTTCTCATTAGCGTCTGGAAATTGATCCCCACTGACCATCTCTTACAAAGATTGAAGAAACTCATGTATGTTACCGAACTTTCCTCATCACACTATAGAACTTAGAAATGTAAAACTCATTAGAAAAAAAAAACTATTCTCCTATTTAAGTAGTAAAAGAATTGTCCTTTTTATTTTTCTTTAGGTCTTTTGCTAACTGTAAAATTCTAAAAATTTGTTAGTTTTCTCTTTTAATCTTTCCCCTTTCCTCTTCTCTCCATTTCCTTCCCTCCCCCTTTTCTCTTGTTCTTTTTCCCTCTTATTCTTTCTTTCCTTCTTTCATTTATTTATTTTTGTCTTGATTAAGCAGTACCCAATATGGCTTTCTGTTGAGGCTGTGCACTAGACTTGCCTATGGAACACTCAAACATTCATATGGTCATACTTTATCCATAGAATTTTTGATTCAATAGGTCTGGGGTATGGCCAAGGTGTCTGTCTGTTCCTGGTGAAAGCTCCCAGTTGAGTCTTGTGCACAGATCAATCAACTTGACAGAAATCATTCTGTTTGATATGATGGAAGTGTAATAAGAGATACAAATAGGAAAGTGGCTATTGCTCATCAGGAAAAAGAATTAAAATATTATCCATATTATTTTTTTTTTCTGGGTCCGGTTGTAGGGCCTGAACTCTGGGCCTGGGCGCTGTCCCTCAGCTCTTCAGCTCAAGGCTAGCGTTCTACCACTTGAGCCACAGCGCCACTTCTGGCTTTTTTTCTTTTTGCTTATGTGCTGCTGAGGAATCGAACCCAGGGCCTCATGCATGCAAGTCAAGCACTCTACCACTGAGCCACCTCCCCAGCCCTCCATATTATTTTATGTTTAAGAAAAACTTAGTACAATTTAATAAATGTATCCTTCATTGGAGGTAATAAAATGTCATTGGCATGGAAAAATATACTTTGTTTGTTTGTTTGTTTTTCCTGTACTGGAGTTTGAACTCAAGGCCTTGCCTTTGCTAGCAGGTGATACACCACTTGAGCTATAACTGTAGCCTAATTGTAAATAATCACCTCAGCTAAGAATTGTCATTATGGGTTATTAGCATGTGGAAGGAAATAATAGTCAGCAAATGTATTCATATATGTGCATATAGAGATACAGATTTATACATATAATCTTTTATGAAGTGTGGGAATTAAACCCAGTGACTCAGATAGGTTGGCAAGCGCTCTGTCACTAAGCTACACCATTAGTTCTTAAAGACTTTATTATTTATTTATTTAGCCAGTACTAGGGGATAAACTTAACATCATGGTTAGAGGGCAGCCCTGGCAAAATCACAATGAAACTCTATCTGAAAAACAAACTAAAATGCAAAAAGAAAGGGAGAATGACTCAAGTAGTAGAACTCTTGCTAACAAGTACCAGGGCCAAAGTTCAATCCAGAACCACAAAAAAGAAAATTAAGATTTGTATTCAGTGTCAGGCAGTAGAGTGAGGATATGTAGACCCTAGTCTTCTATTGTCTTTGTGACCATTAACAAATCTCTTAGGCCCTAGTTGCCTTCTCATTGGAATGAGGAAACCCCTAAATAATTATATGTTAAACTTTCTGTGATTAAAAGAAGACAGAACAGCTATTCCTGGGCATAGACTTCCTTTATTCTCTAAAATTTATATATTTTCAGAAGAAAAGAAAAAGCAATCCAGGCATCTTAATGTTTTTATCATCAATATCAAATTAGCAGAGTAAAAGTTTAATGGCTCCAACTTTAATTTTCAATTATAAATGTAGGTAATCTAACTCTTCTGTTTTCCAGGATGGTAGAACAGTTATGGCAATGTGAGAGAAGGGGATGAGAAGAATAAAAATGAACTGTTGCTTATCTTTAAAATGAAAGTCTAATATCCTTTTAGTTAGTAGAATGTATGGTGTAATCACTATTATTTTGACATCGATTGTAAAGTAGTTCTTTTCATTTAAAGGTATATAATGAACAAATACGTGATCTTTTAGTAAATTCGGGACCACTTGATGTCCGGGAAGATTCCCAGAAAGGAGTAGTTGTTAAGGGTCTGACTTTACACCAGGTATGTTTATAAACATCTTCTGTCCCTATTAGAATACTGTGTCTGTTTAGCAATAGACACTAGCGATTATTATCATCCATCCCATCTGATAAACTAAGAACATAGGAGATAAAAATGATTAAAGTATATCTTTTGTCTTGGTTTGTTGTTGGGTGTTTTTGTGGTTTTTTTTGGAATTGTATGACATTTCTTTCTCTAAAATCTGATCAAACATTCAATATCATATGTTAGTTTCCTAAATTAACTTATATTTTTATCTACTCAAAGACTAGATTTTTATCTTTTATTCTTTATATAATACCAAGTGCATGCAAATGATACACAGTCAATATTTATTAGGATTAAAATAGAACACATTTTCTTTGAACGTCTTATTTGTTGAAAATTTATTAAAAGGCCAAGGATGTGTATCTCAATGTGCTGGCCTAGCATAATTGAAGCCCCTAATTTGTGCACTTCTTTTCTACATAAACTTTTGTAGCCCAAATCCTCAGAGGAAATTTTACAGTTATTGGATAGTGGAAACAAGAACAGGACACAGCATCCCACTGATACGAATGCTACATCTTCTCGTTCTCATGCTGTTTTCCAGGTAACAAGCCCTTAAACTATACTCTTCAATTAATATTTAAGATAAATGAAGTAGAATTTCTGGGTGATAATTTTTATGTATGAGCAAAATATTTCTTTATAGACTTTTCTACTATTTAGTGCTTCCTTTACTTTGAAATTCTGAAAATATTTCATTACTAAGAATATTAAGATTAAGAAGACATAAATAAATGAGCTAACCTTTCTGTTGGAAGATTTCATTTAAATACAAAATACATAGATATAGAATGGTAAGGTGGTTATGATAGAAGTTTATTATTTTATAAATTTATAAAAATAATCTTTCTATTAGATTATCTAAAATTCAGAGTAGATTTTACTCTATCTATACTTACAGAACTAATTGAGAAAATACTAGTTGGCTTTTTTTTATAAGATTTTGTCATAAGTGTTGGTATAATTTGAGGAGGGGAAGGGAGAAAACAATATGTTTAACTAGGGATACAGGTGGACCCATTGCAACAATGAGATGTACAAGATGCTATGTCGAAAAACGAACTTTACAACTTTGGCAGGGGGGTGGAGGGGGTGTAGTCGTGGAGATGGGAGGGCAGGGATAATAGGGGAAAAACAAAGGAGGAGGCAACAATGCTTGATAAGAAATGTACTCATTACCTTACTCATGTAATTGTAATCCCTCTTACGGTATTTTCACAATAAAAATAACTTCTTAAAAAAAGATTTCCTCATAAGTTCAATATATATACGTTCCTTAAGAGAAAATGATTGAGTTAACAGTACTTTTTAGAAAGTACCAGTCCAGAAAGAGCTAAACACAGGTTAGTATCTCATTGCTTCTAGATCGTGTGTGTGTGTGTGTGTGTGTGTGTGTGTGTGTGTGTGTGTGTGTGTGTGTGTGATTATATAAGTTTCAGTATGGGTTGTACTGTATGAAATTCATTGTATAAGAAAGGAATTGTTACAGTTGATAGCTTTTATATCTAAGGCATTGAAGCCATTCAAATAATGTCCACTAAACAAAATTTCATTGATCTTTTCTGTTCTTACCACTGACACCATTTATTGGTAGTCCTCGGATGAATGTTTGTGGCACCTTGATTTCCCTGAAATTTTTAGATCTTGCTATAATAATAGTAATAATAATAGTATTTCATAATGGAGTAATAGTTTGCCTTTATTTTTTTTACCACCTAATTTATTTTAGATAAACTACTATGAAACAGATTAAACTACCTTACTGCACAGTGAAATGATACTGTTACTTTTTTAATGTGAAATATTCTCATGGAGAATTACAATAAATTTGCTTTCAGTTTGCTTCAACCATCACATTCAGCTTTTCTTTGGAGATGATACTAGAATATTTTATCTACTACCTTGATTTCCTCTTAGGAGTAGTGTTTTTTATAGAGCCTGTGTGTCCCACTATCACCACTGGGCAATACATGTTTTGGGTCTATGGTACTAGAATGCAAGAGTTTGACTTCTGATAGGTGAATTCCCCTACCTTGGAATACTGTATTAGTTATCTTTCCATTGCTGTAACAAATACTTGAGATGATCAGTTTATAAATAAAAAAGTTTATATTGGCTAACAGTTTTAGAGATTTTTGGTGTAAGATCAGTTTCTTTTATGTCTGTGGTGAGATAGAGCATTGAGGAGAGTATGTAGAGGAGCAAAGAAAGCCTAATTGTCTCATACTGTGAGTGGAGAAATAAAATGAAACAGGAAGGGATACTCCTTTAAGGACAAGCCTCCTGACCAAAAGACCTCCCACCATGCCCTACCTCATTTTTGCTTTTTTTCCAGGTGGTGAGGGACAACGAGGTCTTACTATGTTGTCTAGACTGATCTCAAAAACACACCTTGGCTCAAGTGATTCTCCTGCCTCTCTTTCCCAAATAGCTGGGACTACAGGCCTGCACCATGAAGCCCAGCTTAGTCCCCAACTTTTAGGTTTTCACCTCCTGCTAGTATCACCAAGGTGGGGAACAACCTTTTAACACATGGGACTTTGGGAAACTTAAGAACCAAACAGTAGCATTCACATTTTAAGAATTTTGTATTTTTTTCAACTTTAGTAATTATTTCTGTTACTCAATACTCTAAAATACTAGTTAAATGATAAGTTGTTCAGGTCGTTGTGTAAAAATGACAGTAATTGTGGTTTCAAGTTCTCTTGAAAATAAAGTGTATTTCCCTGTTTATTTAAATCTCTTCCTCGATTTCTCTATTTTATAATTGAAGATTTATTTGCGACAACAAGACAAAACGGCGAGCATCAATCAAAATATTCGTGTGGCTAAGATGTCACTCATTGACCTGGCAGGGTCTGAGCGTGCCAGTGCTACTAGTGCTAAAGGAATTCGATTTGTGGAAGGCACAAATATCAATAGGTCACTTTTAGCTCTTGGGAATGTCATCAATGCCTTAGCAGATACAAAGGTATGTACTTCATTTGTTAAAGACTGAAAGACAGTGTTTTCTAGAGATAATATGTAATACAATTTTTATAACGATCTAATATAACTCAGAATTTGATAGTGTCAATTTTTTATTTCATTTTTTTCACTACTGTTTGGTTTGAACTCATGGCTTTGTACTTATTAAGCTGAAGTTCTACCACTTGAGTGGGCCTCTAGCCTTGTGTTTTGCTGGCTTTTTTTTTTTTTTTTGCTGGGCCTGGGCGCTGTCCCTCAACTCTTCAGCTCAAGGCTAGCGCTCTACCACTTGAGCCACAGCGCCACTTCTGGCTTTTTTCCTTTTGCTTCTGTGGTGCTGAGGAATTGAACCCGGGGCCTCATGCATGCAAGGCAAGTGCTCTACCGCGGAGCCCCTTCCCAGCCCCCAGAGAAGTTTTTGTTATATATTGCTAATATCTGGTTTCTCTTATTGTCACTTTGTTGTTGTTGTTGTAATTGTGTCCTGCTATATTGTTCAGGCTGTGCTCTTAACTGGTAATCCTCCTGAACGAGCCTTTGGAACTAGCTGGCATTACAGTCACGTGCCACTATACCCACTTTTATTGGTCATCTTAATACATGTGATACATGGTATAACAACTAATAAACTGATACTGATACTTTGTTTTTGTTATAGAGTTATATTTAGATGGAGATAGAATTTTTAAATGATTTTTTGTTTTATGTGTTAACTGAATAGCCCTTTAAGATTAATTAACATTTTAATAATCAGTTACAAATATAAAACCAGGCAAGGCTTTAATTAATATAATGAGTAGTATCAAACATACATTTAAATGTGGAAAATACTGTGCAATTTTTGTTGTTGTTGTTGTTGTTCTTTCAGAGGAAGAATCAGCATGTTCCTTATAGAAATAGTAAACTTACTCGCTTGTTAAAGGATTCTCTTGGAGGAAACTGCCAAACTATAATGATAGCTGCTGTTAGTCCTTCTTCTTTATTCTATGATGACACATATAACACTCTTAAGTATGCTAACCGAGCAAAGGATATTAAATCTTCTGTAAGTATACTTACTTTGCCCTTTGTTGTAGAAGTATTAAGGAAGGTTGTATTAAGTAGTTAGGCAACGGAGGGCTAAAACTGCCTTTATTTACTGGTTAATTGTACATTGACTTTGCCTTTACACATCTTGATTCTACTTATAATGAATAATATTCAGTTTTGTGGGTGGTTTATTTATTTTTTCATTTTTTTATTGTGAAAATACCATACAGAGGGGTTACAATTACATGGACAAGATAGTGAGTACATTGTGGGTGGTTTAATGCATCTTTCCCCAAGCTTTTTCACATCATGGCACATACAATTTGAATGGTACCCTGGAATAATCACAGCTTTAACAGACTATAGATGATGATGTAATTTAGTGAGCACCAGCTAACTATCAAATTTACCTCAATTAAGTATAAAGTATATTTTAAAACTTAGTAAAAAAAAAAAAAAAAAGTTAAAGCTAGGCACAGTGTCTCATGCCTGTAATCCCCAGTACTCCAGAAGCTAAGATTAGGAGGATTGCATTCAAAGCCAACCCAGGCAAAAACTCAGGAACTCATTTGAACAAACAGGATGTGATGGTGCACACCTATTAACTGGCTACCTAGGAAGTATGAATAGAAAATTCCCTGTCCACAGTAAATTTAAGGCCCTATTCAAAAAACAACTAAAGGAAAAAAAAAGCTAGAGGCATAACTCAAGTAATAGAGTTCCTGCCTCTAAAGTACAAAGACCTAAGTTCAAGTTTCAGTACCACCTCTGGTTATAGTTATATAATCTCAAGCCAGTGGCTCATGCCAATAATTCTTACTACTCAGAAGACTGAAATCTGAGGATCACAATTCAAAGCATGCAAGGCAGATAGATATGTGAGACTCTTCAATTAAACAGCAAAAAAACTGGAACTGGAGGCATGACTTAAGTGGTAGAGCTCTGGCCATGAGCGAAAATATTGAACAAGAGCACAAAGCTCTTAATTGAAGCCTCAATATTGGCAAATATATATAGATCTATATGTATATAGATCTATATATAAAATATATAGATCTATATATATAAAATCTCAAATTATCAATATGCACACCATCTTCTCTTGTTACAGACTTTAAGTAGGAGTATAACTAATTATAATTGCCACATGATCATAATTGACTAAAAATTAATGAAATGATTAATGAGATGCAATCTCTTTTCCTTTTTTAACAGTTGAAGAGCAATGTTCTTAATCTCAACAGTCATATATCTCAATATGTAAAGATCTGTAATGAGCAGAAAGCAGAGGTATGTCTGATACTTGCATTGTTAGGTTAAACTTCCTCAGTTCTTCACTTACAGGACTCTTTGTACTAATTGGCCAAAAATGTAGTGTATTTCTACTACAAATGAAATCTGGCTTATTTGGTTATTTTTCACAGCTGCACTTTTGCTGTGGTTAGGTACCATGTGAACAAATATCTTGATTTGTTTTTTAATTAGTATTTCTCTCTAGATTTTAATGTTAAAAGAAAAACTAAAATCCTATGAAGAACAAAAAGTCTTCGCAGATAAAAATGACAAGTCAACATTAATGATCCCAAGCATGCAAGAAAAAGAAATTGAAAGGTAAAAACAGTAAGATTTTATTTTGAAGAATTTATTATTTTAAAATTTAGATATTTTATATTAACCATCATTTGTTACACATCTAACATATGTTAAGATGGCCCACACAAACATACACATACTCAGCTGAATTCAGGAAGTCATTACTCTATTGTATATTTTGGAAATCAGGTATTTTGTTTTATAGATTATATTGCTAACTAATATTTAGCCATGAGATAAAGTAAAGCCAGTTAATTTTTAGTGATTTTTTTACATGTAAATCTTTTTATTTTTCCATATTGATTTTGTTACCTACTTAATAAATTTTAACTAAATTAACTACTTGAGTAAATATCTCATAGTGATACCAATTGATAGGGACATAGTGGAAATGGTGTCTAGAATAGTTCACATTTCATGATTAACATTTCTAGATTCAGTGTTCCAGTGGGTCAGTTTACAAAACTGAAGCTGTCATAATTGTTGTGGGGACAATTCTTCTTGAGTACTATGTGGTTAACAGCCTTATTTTGCTTCCTAAACTTTTTTTTTTAACCCCATGGTGTTACTGATGTTCAAACTCAGTGCCTTGTGCTTGCTTGACATGCTTTGCATTGCTTGAGCCTTGCCCAGACCCATCTCTGTTTTATTTTATATATAGCTTGGTAGGTTTTGATGATTTTTTTTGATGCTTACTGATTTAATCTAGTCACTACCAGAATACCAGAATATTTTCAAGTACTGTTAAAAGAGCGATCTTATCCTCAATTACAAATAGGAATAAGAACTATCACATTTTTCAAATTGTAATATTTGATTTCCATCCCTGTCATTTTCATAGACACCATCAGACAATATCAGTGACAGTCATCTATTTTTCAGACAGCATCAATTTGACTTACAATTTCTTAAAGTGAAGGAACTCTGTTTATACTCAAAATTTTCTGTTAATCTCAAACAACCTATTTAAACTTTCAGTTGTTAACTATACTTTATTAGGCATCAGATGTTTTTTATTATTTCCTACCAATCTTAGTATCTTAAAAAAATAACAAGTGGGTTTTTTTTTATTCTCTTAGTTTCATCAGTAAAAGCTTTTAACTCTGGTGTGGTGTATTAGTTTTTTAATTTCATTTTGTAATTCAAATATGCAGCAAGTGGGCTGGGAAGGTGGCTCAGTGGTAGAGTGCTTGCATGCATGAAGCTCTGGGGTCAATTCCTCAGTACCACATACACAGAAAAAGCCGTAAGTAGTGCTGTGACTCAGGTGGTAGATTGCTAGCCTTGAGCAAATGAAGCTTAGGGACAGCACCCAAGCTGAGTTCAAGCCCCAGGACTGGCAAAAATTTAAATTAAATAAATAAAATATGCAGGAAGTCCTCAAACCATACAAATATATTGAAAGAAATCACTCCTCAAAGTTAGTGCGATTGTGTTCATATACTCTCAGCCCCATTTAATCAAGTCGCCTCTGCTGTTTGAAAACCAGATAGTTAGTAAACTTGTTTTTGGAGTTGATGCCTTTGAGCTTCCCTTTCTGATCAAACTATTTAGAAGGGTGGTAGTGTGGGATATGAAATGAACATTTCTTTGGCTATTTTTCATACTTCAAACTGACTTTTAATTAATAATTGAAATTGATTTTAGCTCCAGATTCATATTAAATAACTCATAAACAAGGTAATTATAAAATTATATATCCCATAACCCTTATCAGTTCCCTCAAAAGTGACTGTCTCCCACATGAAATATCTTTTTATTATATCAATTGCATGATTACTTGGGCCTTTATAATGCCCTGATTTTTGAAGTCTTATCATGAAATTTAAATAACGTTATAATGATGTTTAAACAAATAATGGGAAAAATACGCAGGATATATGCTTAGTTACTTGAAAAAGTAGTGTTTGATAGAAATTATACAAAGAAAAAATAATTTTTTTATAAACTGTAGACATTAAACTTCACTAGTAACTGCCAAGAAAAGTATGTAAAGTTAAATTTATTATGTGCAAAATTTTGTTTACTTATTTCTAGCTGGTGACAATTGAATTTGAATGTTGAAAATGACTAGAAAATAGTTATTGTCAATCCCTTAGGGATGTTTTTTTTTTTCCAAAGACAGATTCTAGAAACATTTGATAATAATTTCTTTCTTTCCATTTAAATCAGTAAACACTGTCATGTAAAATGTCTGGCCCACGAGGTTACCAAATATTTAACTTTGTCCTTGATTAATAAGTTACAGAAAAACTGAGAAATTTTCTTTGGCCATAACCTAAAGATAACTTGACAGTTCATTTACTGGCATTAGCATTAGTGTAATACAATACAGTATCACAATGTCCATACATATTTCCTATGAAATATTCATCAGTTTGACAAAACAGCAGTAAAGTCAATGTATTGTGGCTTATAGTCATTCCCAGTAGAATTTCATTAAGAACTACTGACGTAAATTGGCAGTATTTTTACCACAGATCTTTGCAAATATATCTAAAATTCTGACCAAAGAACATTTATTTTTAAATGTGCAAGCTTGATTGTATATTAAAGGCTTTACATTTAATTTTTCTTAGATATTTTTGCCTGTATGTCACTGTTTTATACTGATACTGTATTTCAATTCTGATCTCTGACTTGAAAGCACTAATAGTTCTAGTATGTTCTAGTATGTATTTCTGTTGACCCTGGAAGGTGCAGGATTGTGGATTCCTTCAGGAATTTCCGTAGGAGTTAATCAGCCTCAAGTGGTCAGGCATGTGGATATCTCAATCAAATTCTCCTACTTTGATTCTTTAGGTCTATATTACACTTTTAAAGAAGCAAATAATAGTGGCTTTTCTATATTTCATGCTTTGGGTCCTGAAAGTGTCAGTTGATTCTTAGCCAAGCTGTAGGGGTTACCTAACATTTATGATGTGTTTTCACAATAATAAATTTTGAAGCTAAACTCTGGTCCTCTCATAATACCTAGGGAGCAATGAAAACACTCTGGGACTGTGCCTCCTACTGCTTCATATTAGGCCACCACCAAAACAACATAAAATTTTTGGTCACAGGTACATTGAGAATAGCCATAATACAGTTCTAGATTATCATCCTTTTCTACAAATACCAAATATTTTACTTTGGGTAAACAGTCTGACTTAAATATAGATATAAGCAAAATTTAGTATACTACTAATACCAAACATCATCTGATAGATGTATGTATCAATAACAGATTTTTTCTTTGGCAGGTTTTGAGAAAAACCTATAGTAGAAGAAACAAAGTTAATATTTTTTTCTAAACATTTTTGTAATTGGGAAAAGTCATTCTAACCTACTTGCTATTTATCACACAATATAATTCTAAGTGGTATGTATTTAGTAATTTAGGGAAACTTTGTGTATTTGGGCCCAATCGTGGGGTCTAAACTCTGGGCCCGGACACTGTCCCTCAGCTCTTCAGCTCAAGGCTAGCGCTCTACCACTTGAGCCACAGTACCACTTCTGGCTTTTTTCTTTTTGCTTATGTGGTGCTGAGGAATCAAACCCAGGGCCTCATGCATGCAAGGCAAGCACTCTACCATTGAGCCACCTTCCCAGCCGCATTTAGGGAAACTTTGTATCATTTATCTCACAACTAATGAAATTTTATAATTTTTTTTAGATATCAAGAAATTCTGAACTGCTTGTTCCAGAATCGAGAAGAAATTCGACAAGAATATCTAAAATTGGAAATGTTGCTCAAAGAAAATGAACTTAAGTCATTCTATCAACAACAGTGCCATAAGCAGATAGAAATGATGTGTTCTGAAGACAAAGTAGAAAAGGTATTTAAATTACTTCCGAATGAAATTGTATAGAATGTGAAATCACAAAAACTTCTGATTTGGAAGACATGGAAATGCAGTAATTATGAACAAACATTTAGAAATGCTAAAAGAACTATACCAATTGTTCTCCTAAATACTAAAGTATATAGAAAGCAATTTAAGGAGTGACCTAGAAAATAGTTCTTAAAATGCTTTAAAAACACTGCAGATAAATAGGATTAATGAAAAGATAGAAAGTCTATACAAAGCAATTAGTGAGCATGATGAGACTAACCTAAGATTAGAAGAATTCATGGAGTCCACAAACAGAAATCTAGAATGTTTAATCTTTGGTTTTGCCTCTTTAGCTGTACTCCTTGATTGACTCTTCTATTGCCTGCTTATTTTCTGTGGGAATTAAGCTTCTTTAACTTGCCATTTTCTCTTGTTTTTCTGTGATTTGTTCTGCCCATTTGGAAAGCCTTTTGGTTTTACTATTTTTTTTTGTGGCGGGGGGTAGGGTGAAGGAGTGGGGGGGGTGAGGAGGGAAACTGTTGAGAGAGGAGATGGCATGTTCAAAATGAAACATGCTCATTACCTGACTTATGTAACAACAACCCCTACATCACCTTTACCATAAAAAAAGTAAAAAAAGAGAAAAAGAGCCAGGAATATTAGGGATTGGTGGAGTAGTTCTGTTATGACAGCTTTAGCCAATAAACAAAAGCATCAGGTACCAAATTTGAGTCCTGATTTCCCCTCCCCTCCCCCACGAACATACACAAAGAACCAGGAAAATTCTATATGAATTGTACTATATTTGTATATTTCCTGCATGTTTGATTAACATTTAACATTTACATGTTTACATTGTACTTTTAACAAATATTGATGCTTATCATATGCTTATATTATTGATATTGACTAGTTCTGTTGACATACATGAGAGTATTAGTATGTTCCTCAAATGCTGAAATGACAAGCTGTACCATCATCTAGGAGTTGTTATACAGGCACACCCTCCTGCCCCATTCAAACCTATTAGATCAACATTGCTGGGGAGTGGTGAGCAGATAACGTGTGGTCCACAGCAACCCCACTCCTGGGCATTTACCCAAATAACCACACACACACAGGCCATACTAAAACTACCATCATAATCATGTTCATTGCAGCATTATTTACCATAGCTATGATATGGAACCAACCCAGATGCCCCTCAGTAGATGAATGGATTAAGAAAATATTATATGTATATACAATGAAATTCTATACTTCCATCAGAAAGAATGACATCACCACATTCATACGTAAATGGAAAGACTTGGAAACAATCATATTAAGAGAAGTAAACCAGACCAAATGAAACATAGTCTCCATGGTTTCCCTCATTTGTAATAATTAGTCTATGTCTAGGATAGTCCTAGCAGAGGCTCACAATAGCAAAATAGCTATGTATATATGACCATTTAAAATGATGCTAATCAAAATGAACAAGATATGGAAACAAGGGGTTTGTCCTTGTTGTTTTTAATGTACTGTGTGAAGCTATTTCTTTCTCTTTTTTTTTTTTTTTTTTTTTTGGGGTCCGGTCGTGGGGCCTGAACTCTGGGCCTGGGCGCTGTCCCTCAGCTCTTCAGTTCAAGGCTAGCGCTCTACCACTTGAGCCACAGTGCCACTTCCGGCTTTTTTCTTTTTGCTTATGTGGTGCTGAGGAATCGAACCCAGGGCCTCGAGCATGCAAGGCAAGCGCTCTACCACTGAGCTACCTTCCCAGCCCCTTCTTTCTCTTTCTTTCTGCTCCGCCTCTCCTCCCCCGCACTTTTGGCTTATCCCTTGTTGTCACTATATTTGATTTTGGTACTCTGTGCCTTGTATGTAAGTTTGTCTGATTTGGGAAAGGGAAGGGGAGCAACAAAATGGTGAGACAGAGTGAGACAAAGGACAAAGGGTGCACCAGCAACAGCAATACTGACAATATGCTGGAAATGTTGGGGGAAGAGGAGGGAAAGTGGGAGAAAAATAATTCAACAAGAAATGTACTCACTGCCTTACGTATGCAACCGTAACCCTCTGTACATCACCTTGACAAAAATACTAAATTTACAAAAAAAAAAAAGAAATTTAAGTTTCATTTTAACAAGAAAACGAAGAGCAGCAAAATCTCAGTTCCAATTCTTGCTTTTCTGCAATATGTATGAACTCCTCACAAGTTAACAAAGTCTCAAGGAGAGTTTGTTACCGGAAGTATGACATGGAAACAGCCCATAAGAACCAGTGATTTACAATATAAACCAATGGGAATTTTTTTTTTCAGAAAAGAACAGTTTTAATTTTTGATTATCAAAAGAGGGGAGTATATTCCAGACAGTCTCACTCTGTATACTCTCACTACTCACTTTCCCAAACATTTTCTACAAGTTTCACTGTTTTATTTTAATCCGTATTATCTACTTCGACCATATTTTATCTTTCATCTTCCTTGTTAGCCCAACCCCCCTGACTGATTTAAGGTATGAACTTTAGCATGTATTTTATTTAGGAAACCCCTAAAGTTGAAAATTAATAAACAAAATATTAGAACAGTAGTACCTCTGCAGAGTCAATGCAAAATCAGCCAGGAAAGAAATCATCAATGCTAGCCACTAAGTCCAAAATATAAAACACATAGTAGAACAGTTTGCCACAGTTAAGAATCAGCAAAAGCTGGGTACCAAGTGGCTCATGCTATAATCCTAGCTATGAAGGAGGCTGAAACCTAGAGAACTGAGGTTTCGAGCTAGCCTGAACAGAAAGGTCTGCAAGATTCAATCTCCAATTAACCAATAAAATACTATACTGAAGGTGTGAATCAAGTGTTAGAGTACTAGATATGAGCAAGAAAGCCATGTTAACTCAAAGCCCTTAGTTATAAGCCCTGACACAGCACCAAAAGAAAGGAAAAAAACAACAAAATAAAAAACCAACTTGGCAGACAGCAAATATGACAGATTTCCCAAAACTTCATTTGACATACAGAAGACAATGCAAAAAATTTATGGTGCAGATTTTCTAGTAGTAGAAAGATGTATATTCAAAAGGAATGAGCTTCTAGCAGTACAAAACAAATACATACCTAGACCTATAAGATCACAATTATTTCCTCAGTTTTAATGGTAAGGTATATATACGCATGCTTTTAACTGTTTCTTTTTATTTTTTACTTTCGTGTGTGTGTGTGTGTGTGTGTGTGTGTGTGTGTGTGTGTGTGTGTGTGTGTGTGTGTGTGCTGAAAATTGAATCCAGGTTTCATGTGTGCTAGGCAAGTACTGTGCTATTGTTACCCAAAGCCCCATAAAGTCTTCTAGTTTCCTACCTAATTAATATGATTAAACCACTATAAAACGCTAGTTGGCTCACTTCAGTTTGCTTTCTTAATTACTACTATTCTATAGGTACTGTAAATGCTCTTAACTATTAGCTTCTCATTGTGATTATTTTAAAAGTCTTTCTGGTGGAAAGAACATATTTGTGCTGATCCTTGCATGAGATTATCAATTGGAAAAAAAACAAAAATAGTTTTTATAGATAAAATATAGATTTGACCAGTACAGAGTATATTTGTGGTATATTTGTGGTATATTATAAAAATGCCTAATGCATTCAATACTTCTACAAAAAAAAGTTTTTTATTATAGCTTATTTCACTAGTAAATTGCCCTCATCTTTCTGAACTAGAAATTAGCCTACACTAACCACTGTAAATGGATTTGATTTGGCACATGAAAAATAGAAGACATTTTATATAAATATATTCAAGCTGACACATGACAAAAAGAAGACATTTTATAAAAATTATTGACAGTAAATGGGAAGAGTGTCACATATTATGGAAACATTGGTTGCCAGGAATTTAGAATCTAATTTTTAACTAAAAGTAAGTAGTAAGTAGTTGTAAGTAGTCTGAATATTACCAGAACTTAGAATTGAGTACTATTTATTAGGCTTTTATTGCAGTTAGTAAGCTTGGTATGTTAATCCCATACTAACTTAGGTCATTTTTTTACTTTGATTTACTTTCTTAAATGAATTTTGAATTGTGTCTCTTTATTCTTCTGCATATTAATCTTTTATAAGCCAGTTGACTTTTACGATGTCTAGCTTTTGATTATTTCAGTCTATATGTTACCATTTCTTAACCATTCTTGATGCTCTACCTCTTGATGATGTCCTTAATTATTTTTTATATGGGTTCTCTCATTTTTGTCCAGGACTGGTGTTAGACTACAATCATACTTGAGACCACAAGCACATATTACCACATCCAGCTTACTTGCTGGGATGAGATCTTGCTGACTTTTTTGCTTGGGTTGGCCTTGAATTGTGTTCATATGAACTGTCCCTATGAAATTAGGGAGATAAAAATCTTAAAACAGGCATGTTAGCTGATACCTACAGTCTAACACCTAGAACAGGAAGTTTGGAAGTTCAGGTCATCTATGCTTTATGGTGACAAAAAAAGAAAAACAAAACAGTTATTGGTTATAATTAAACCATTGAGAAACATCTCAGGCTTTAGTTATAATTTGTTTGTGGACAGAAATGTATTAATAAACTGCTTTCTAAGGCAAAGAATTTTATGTTTTGGATGCCCTCCAAAAGAGATTTATTATCAGAACTACTGAATCTCATAACATTGATTCAGCTATAAATAGGTTTGGAGTATGGATACTGAAATGTATATTGAAATAAAACTCCTAGGTAGTTTTATAGCCATGTAAAGATAACCTGTAAAATTATTTTATAATGTAAATATGAGTTTGCCATATTACCAGTTCTTTTGTACAAAGTAATAACACCTAAAATTTCAAAACTATATTCTTTCTCAAGACTTTTGTGGTGGTATTCTGGACATTTTATTACTGAAAATACAAACAGCTCTTTTCAAACTCAGTGGGAAAAACTTATTTTAATACCAGTATAAAATTTATATATTTAAAAATGTTTTTCCAGACACTTCCCATCTTGGAACATTGATTCATTGGAAGTAATTAAACATTCCTACAAAGAATCTTCCTGGATAATATATTTGTTGAGCATTAAAAGTAAAACGTCAACTAACTTACTTTTGAGCTTTTAGCTAGGATCTTTCTGGCATTAAATACTGCCACATTCAGATACACAGGTGACTTTACTCTGGTTTCTAGAGGGGTGTTTACATTTGTAAATGATGAAGCAGCAATGGTTTAATTTAACTCATTTTCCTATTAGATAATGGAATACCCGCTGAGATTGACTTGCCAAGTTTTCACAACTTCTGAATGGCAGAAGAAATTCTAAAACTCCTATATCCCACTCAAAAAAGCCCTGCTACAGCAAGGCTTTTAAACTTCAGGTTTCAGGATACTTTTCTACTTCATTCTAACTTAGAGTTTGAAGACTTTTGGTTTATATAAATTCCTTCTACCAATATTTCTATTAGAAAGTCAAAATGAAATTTACCCAAAAAACTCAAAATAATTGAAAAAAAATGATTTACTTCAAAATAGCTCATATGTTAACATCTATATGAAAATAGTTAATCATGGCTTTTAAAGCAAAAAAATGGGTAGTAAAAAGAGTAATAGTATCTTTTGGTTTGTAAAACTACAGTAATTGATGAATAAGAATACATTGTTATCAAAATTGTATTGACTGAATAAACCATAAGAAAGAGTCTTAAGGCTCTCTAGATAATGACTGCAGACATCTTTTTTAGTTGTTCTACCTAATAACATCTTGTAACCTTTTGCCCTAGAAGTTTACAGTTTGTTTCATTTGTTTTAATATCTTACCCCATAATCAATTATTGGGATATAATTAATCAGATAATGTCAAGAACCTTATTGAGAATGGCAATGAATATCAACCTGTTTTTTTATCCACTAGCATAAAGTGGAGCTCTTTTTTTACTTAACCTTTACATTTCTCTTGGAGGAAAGGTTAAATAAAATGTATGAATACCTAGGAGTTGGCTGTGAGTTAATGACAGCTACATTTACTAGACTCAGAATCCTTTATGAGCCTCCATTCAGTTAAAGACAGTCATATTTGTTTTTGTTTTATGCCTGCCATTTTTAATTATGCAACATTTATAAAAGTTAATACATTAGGGGAATTTATTAGCCCAAAAGGGTAAAGCCCTTAATGAATTCAAATCTAGCTCCTCTTCTTTATATTATTCTTCACTCTCCACTTTCAAATCTAGCTGTAAGTGCCTGTTCAAATCTTAAAGCTGTATTTTTTCAGGTATAGTCATCATATCTGATAATTATTGAGTTCAGTATCTCTTGGAAAATTTCCCACAGAGGTCAAGCTGTTCTGACCCACAGTTCCTATGATAGTGTGAAGACCAAATGATCGATTTCAATCTAATTTTTGCAAATGTAAAACACCAAATATAGCAATGGAGCCATTAATGGACTTGAACCCATCTATAGGCAAAATCAGCTTTTTGAAAAGCAGACTGATTATCAACTCTCATTTCTGTCTATTGAATCAGCCAATTTAAGGCCTTACAGGCAAAATCAGAACACTATAACACTTTATTTGTTCACATCCTTCAAACTGGAGAAGTGGTAAGAGGGGATATGAATCTGCTTTGATTTTGATTAAGGAAGTCATGGAATTTATCTGACCTTATATGAACTTTACAGATTCAGTGTAAAAGAGGATGTATTTTGTTAGTGCGCATATGCGTGCCCGCGCGCACACACACACACACACACACACACACACACACACGAGGGGGGGAAAAGTTACACATTTTAAAGTTGTTCACTGTATTTCTTACAGCCAAAACTCCTAATGTAATGTTATACAAGTGACTCAACTCAGTTTCCTATTTTCCTACAAGTATTATACTGCTTTAAGGAGGAAATAATTTTAAATATAAAAATATAGCTTAAGTTAATCAGCTTTGCTAACATCAAAAAATAGTATTTTGCTAATACCATGTACACCAAATGTCATACAATTAGGTATGTTGTATTGTGTTTCAGGCTACTTGCAAACGAGATCATAGACTTGCAATGTTAAAAACACGTCGCAGCTACCTAGAGAAAAAGAGGGATGAAGAACTGAAGCAATTTGATGAAAATACTAATTGGCTCCAACAAGTGGAAAATGAAATGGTACTCTTGGGTCAAAATGGTTGTATTCCAAAGGTATGTATGTATTTGTATATTCAGATTTAATTTATGAAAATCAGGCTCTATTTTTGTTATTCAGTATCTTTCATAAGAAAACTATTGCCCTAGTTCTCTGAGATATAATGAGTTTATTTTATACTGTTTATAACTGAATATACCTTCTGCTTGCTAATTAGCTACTAGATTTGTACTTTCAAAAGGGAAAAGTTATTGCTGAGTGTTATTCTTAAACAATTCCTCCTTTTATTAGGTGGATCTTAAAGTAATTCTCAATTTCAAACAAGGATTCATGTGGGTAACTTAAGTTTGTTTTAAACCTTGGTATTTTTGAAAAAAATGGTTTTAAATGGTATGACTACTAATTTTATTATAGCTAAGTAAAGTGATTTGAAAAAAGTATAGAGAAAGGTATGTATGTGTGCGTGTCTAGGTGTGACGTTATTCCATGTTAGAATATCAAAATATATTTATGCATAAAGTATAATGATGGTAGTTTTCATTAATGTCTGTTCTATAACAAACTTATAAGTAATATGATTTCAATAGCTTAGCCAGTTTGGGCTATACTTTACTCCCTTAACAGTGTCTTGGAAGTATGTAGTTCTAATATATTAGCATCAATCTTATCAATTCGTGATTATAATATAATACTTATATTTTAGCTCCAGTATCAAATTTGTACCTATATCAGAAGAAGAGGGAAATGGAGGCAGGGGGGGCGGTTCTGTGTCTAGATCGGTAAACAGTGACTTTTCTAGAAATGCCTAACAGACTATTAGCTAGAATGTATCACATGGCTGCCCCAAGATAAAAATGAGTCTGGAAGTATGACTTTACTTATTTCCTTTGTTGCTTGAAACATTCCCCTAAAGAAAACGTTAGTCCTTGAATAAGAAAGAAGAAAATGATAGGTACTAAGCACATAATATAGCTAAAATCATATGCTTTTGCCAACAAACGGATATTAGATCTTCTGGAATTTTAAAATCTGTAAAAGAACATCTGACTGAAAATAAAGATGGACTTGAATACTCAGTAATAAATGCTATGGGCTTTTAATATTCAAAAAGTACTAATTTTGAAGCTGGGAAGGTAGCTCAATGGTAGAGTGCTTGCCTTGAATGCATGAGGTCCTGGGTTCGATTCCTCAGCAGCACATAAGCAGAAAAAGCCGGAAGTGGTGCTGTGGCTCAAGTGGTAGAGCACTAGCCTTGAGCTGAAGAACTGAGGGACAATGTACAGGCCCAGAGTTCAGCCCCCACGAAGTTCAGCCCCTACGATCGACAAAAAAAAAAAAAAAGAAAAAAAAGGGGGAATAGATTCACTGACTGGCTGGCAATGGATATAAATATTTTATGAACACTAGTATGTAAAAAAAAAAAAAATAAGCAAAAGCAAATCTTTTTAGCCGTAAACCTTGAACATGAGTGCAGAGAAAAGACTAGTAGGCGCAGTCAATGATGACCATTCAGAATAGTAAGTAAAAGATACCCTGACTTCTAAGAAGAAAGACAAAGACAAATGCAGAGAAGAACTTTTACTGTGGGTATTTATTGAGACTCAGTCATCCTAGGAATCTCCAAACTTGTTTGAAGTCACTTGTTTCCTGAAGCCCTTTTATTGATTTAAAAATGTGATGTATATATTCTTCATAAAGAAATTATTGTATCCAAAGTGTTGTACCTATCCTAAGATGGTATAATGATTTAAAAATACCAGCCAAAAAAATTACAAAAGACAGTGATTCATCGTTGAACTCTAAAGGCATTGTCTAGGCACAGGAAAAAGTAGCTTTTGAAATTTCATGTTAGCTATAAGTCACCTAAAACTAAAGATTCAACTTAGAGTGCAACAGTTTTCACTACCTCTTAAAGTTTTCAAAGGAACCAGTTAATAACATGGACAAATATATGTTACTCACTTTCACTTCATGATCCAATACCTTACTCTCTTAAGAAGCACATGTTAAATGATGTTGGTATTTACTAGTTTATTCACTTTTTAGTGTACACAAAATTGTAAGTACTTTGGTTAAACTTTGACTTTAGTTAAAAATTAGAAATTTCATTAGTTTTTGTATATGTGTGTGTGTGTGTGTGTGTGTGTGCGTGCTATAACTTATAGTTCTACTACTCTGATAGATTATTTAGCTCTTTCGATGGGCAGACTTTTTCAAAATTTCTTTTGTACTTTTTAGTAGAATGTAAATTTACTACTCTACTCAGTTTGAAGTATAGTGTTCAATTCATTAAGTACATTTCTAAGAACTTAGCATATGTCCTTGTAGGTTTAAAATGTAGGTGTAGATTACTTACATTATTTCTTCAAAACAATGAGTTAATTTTATTGTACTTGTTCTATAAGGAATTAGCATTCTTATTTATAGTCATGGATAACTACAGATGTAGTACTTAAAAACTTTTTTAGTTTTTTTTAAAGAAACAGAAAAGTCAGTTGTAGATAATTTTTAGTCTTGCCTGTGCTATCCTGTATTTGCTATAAGCTCCCAATTTTAAAGAATTCAAAGTCCTTTTGCATCTTATTATTATAAATAATTTGAAAAAAAGAAAAAATTAAAACTTTACATTCCTAGTCAAGTCCTATGCTTAATTCTTTTTCTACAGATGTTTTCACAGTTGAAATAATTATTAGTTACTATTTCCTACATAGGTTCATGAAAGAACTTGATTTATTCAAGATCCTAGAACTCTGGAAAACTGAGTGATTCTGGTTTTTGCAGTTAGTATGCTTTCTATATCTCTTCTTCTGCATTATCTATTGCTTTAGCCATCTTTCTCTACTCCTCACTGCTGTGACTCCTACCCTGTTTTTGGACTGCTTATTACTGCATTTGGTTTTTCTGATTCTGGCATGTTCCAGAATCAGAAAACTATGTTCCATAGTTACTTAACATATCACTCTTTTATGTCATTTTTCCAGTATAAACTCTCTTTCATGATTTATCAGGTCTACCATGGTCTGGTACCTAATAATTCTCAAGTTTTATATCACTCTCACCACACTCTACATTTCAGCTATTACTAACCTACTTGTAGTTCTCAGAATAGGCTCTGCTCTTCTAATCAGGTTCAGTCATTAATGTGTAAATGTAAAAACTAGTTTAAGTTGTAAACTTACTTTTTTAAAAATGACAAACTAGCCAAGATCTATTATTGACAGTGGTTCAAGAATATCCTGGGACTTAACAGGCCTGGACACTGTCCCTGAGTTCTTCTGGCTCAAGACTAGTGTACTCTAATACTTGAGCCACAACTCTATTTCCAGCTTTTGGTAGCTAACTGGAGATGACACTTTCACGTACTTACCTATCTGTAATGTCTTCAAACCATGATTCTCAGTTCTTAGCCTCCTGAGTAGATACGATTACACATGTGAGCTACCTGTGCCAAGCAAAGAAAAAAAAGTAAAAAGATAGAAATATAACTATTTTTAAGAAATATAACTACTATATGATTAAAATCATTTTATTTTCTAATTAGAAAAGAATGAAAAAAAACATCTAACCCAGCTCTTAAAATGTTAGTCAAATAATCTGATCTTCATATAGGCCATATGAAGTGGCTTAAAATGGCAATTTCTTTCAAGGCTAAGCCTTTCTCTAAACATCAATACTTATATCCTAATACTAGAGCCATATCATCCTGTTTCTATGAAAATTTTTCCCTAAAATATTTGCTGTTTCTTGACGTATAAAAATGACTTATGTAATAAAACTTTATCTTAATATTTCTCTGGCAAATAGAAAGACATTGTTTTGACATTGTTTCTCTGTCATCGTCCCTACTACTGGGATAGGAATATTTTTTTTTGTTTGTTTGTTTTTTTGTTTTGTTTTTTTTAATTTAATTTAATTTTATTTGTGAACATACTGTACAGAGGAGTTACAGTTACATGGGCAGGATAATGTGTACATTTCTTACCAAGCATTGCAGCCTCCTCCTTTGTTTACCCTTCACATCCCTTCCCAGCCTCCCCCCTCCCCCACTAATCCCAATCCTTCTCCTTCCTCCCCCCCCCAGCCCCCCCCCCCCCCAACTTTGTAAAGTTCGTTTTGGACATGACAACTTGTACTTCTCATTGTTGCAACAGGTCCACCTGTATCCTTAAACAACTGGTTTTTCCCCATCTCCTCCACAAGTTATACTGACATCAAATATAGTGAAAGCAAGGGTTATACTGTGGGGGAGGGACATACAAAGCAACAAAGAGATAATCTTATAAATGTGTTAGAAACACATGCATGAAAGAAAAAAACATTAAAATACACATCTAAGGGTTCATTTTCCTGACATCACATTATCTGACCTTTTCCGCTTGACTCATACATATACTAGATATTACAAATAAGGGAAACCATGGGAACTACGTTTCTTTGGGCCTGGCTTACTTCACTTAATATAATTTTTTCCAAGTTTTTCCATTTCCTAACAAATGGGGCAATGTCATTCTTTCTGATGGAGGCATAGAATTCCATTGTGTATATATACCATATTTTCTTGATCCATTCATCTACTGAGGGGCATCTGGGTTGGTTCCATATCTTAGCTATGGTAAATAATGCTGCAATAAACATAGTTGTGCTGATAGCTTTAGTGTGGTCTTGTTTGTAAACATTAGGGTAAATGCCCAAAAGTGGGATTGCTGGGTCATAGGGGAGCTCTATGTGGAGTCTTGGGATAGGAATATTTTTAATATAATTTTATTGTTATCAAGATGTTGTACTTCACAAGTCAGGAAATAAGTACATTTCTTTTTGGACGATATCACCCTTCCTCAATTTTCCCCCAGTTTCCCCCTCTTGTTCCTGCCCACAAGTTACATGGTTCATTTTCCATTTAGTGTCTACTGAGTACCATGCCTACATTTGTTTATCCCTCCTCCCTCTAAGGATGTAACTTTTTAATGGAAGTAAAAAAACAAGTCAGTGGTCAACTCCAGCTTGTAAACAAGTATCAAAAAGTTAAAGTAGATTATCAGATTTTTTTTGTAAAAGGAAGTTTCCAGGCCTCACTTTCCTGCTTACAGGATTACTGGCTCAGCTAATCAGAATATCCCCTCCAAGTTTTTTGTTTGTTTGTTTGTTCCTAATAATGGTACCTGAAATTTTCCCAAGATGCTGAAAATGTTATGGACTATCCATCATATTTCAGTGTAACCTCCAAGATAATATTTTCTGTTGAGGTTTAAGCAGGTTTCAGGAAAGATGAGTAACTTAAGGTAACTGATCAGACATTAGTGGACACTTGACTCTAGACACATAAAACTTAAGAAAATGGAACTTTGTAAACACTTATATAAAAGCCTTTTTTTTTTCCTAAGATACAATGAAAGTAGATGTGGGCATATATTTTTATATACACTAAACTATAATTCTGACTGTAGTCTCTGTTCTGAGAATAAAACTGCAGACAAACAGTAAACTGCAAATTGTTACTGACCAGTGCTATGACAATATTAGAAGGTAGAGGTATCCATTTTAAAAACATGCTCAGGAGCAGAGCGCCAGTGGCTCATGCCTGTAATCCTAGCTACTCAGGAGGCTGAGATCTGAGAATCGCAGTTCAAAGCCAGCCCAGGCAGGAACTTCCATGAGACTCTTATGTCCAATAAACCACGCAGAAAACTGGAAGTGGCACTGTGGCTCAAGTGGTAGAGCACTAGTCTTAACGCTGAAAAGCTCAAGGACAGTGCCCAGGCCCAGAGTTAAAGCCCACAACTGAACCCCCCTCCCCCCAAAAAAAGCTCAGGGAAAGCCTCCTTCAGGAGGTGACCCTTAAGCAAAATCTAATTATATTTTATTTTCACATTGTAAACAAGGTTAGTTGACAGAGAAGCTATCATTTTTAGAAAATTTCTTTGGAAATTTTTACATTTAGTTTCTGGGGAACTTTGAAACTTTATCTTCCTAGTAATAGGGTTTTAGACTGAGTACAACAAGGCTCTTACTTTGTAAATATGTTCTAAATATATTTTCTATCAAAAACATGTAAACAAGACTAGGTGCCAGTGACTCAGGCCTGGAATCCTAGCTACTCAGGAGTTTGAGCTTTGGGCATCATGGTTTGAAGTCAACCCAGGCAGGAAAGTCCGTGAGACTCTATAATTAACCACTCAAAAGCCAGGAGTGGAGTTTTGGCTCAAGTAGTAGAGCACCAGCTTTAAGCAAAAAAGATCAGGACAGCACCCAGGACTGGCATATAAGAAAAAGAAAAAAAAAGTGAACTGTTGGCTAGAGGAATGTCTCATGGTAAAATGCCTGTTACCAAGCACAAGGCCTTGAGTTGAAACCCTAGTACTGCCAAAATGAAAATAAATTTAATTTTCTTAAAATTAAATTTAATAAAATAAAATTTTAATAGTCTTCAAAGAATCTAAAATATATTTTACATTCTTTCCCTTAGGAACTCAATAAAGAGCTTCATTATCACCATTTACAACTCCAGAACAAAGATCTGAAAGCACAAATTAGACATATGAGGGATCTAGCTTCTCTTCAAGAACAGCAACATAGACAGACGGAGGCGTAAGTATGAGTTTTGGAATCAGTCTTTAAGCCTTTCTGCCTTTAATAATAAAACCCTGCAGAAAGTAGGTAAACTTTTTAAGCCTTGGTTTTTTAAACATAAAAGTAGATTGTAATACAAACATAATATAGTGCCTGTGTCCTGAAAGTAGAGTCTATTGATCTTGCTTGCTATGTCTTTTGCCATGCAGAAGCTCTGCAGTTTCATGCAATCCTATGTGTCCAAAATGTCTTGATTTGTAGTGTTTTGGGGTCTTTATTAAGAAAATTTCTGCCTGTACCAAGGAGCCCTAGGGTTTCTCCTATTCCTTCCTGTAAGGTTTTCAGGGTGTCTGCTTTGATTTCGAGGTCTTTGATCCATTTGGAGTTGATTCTGGTGCAGGTTGATATATAAGGATCTAGCTTTAGTTTTCTACAGTTGATCGACCAATTTTGCCAGCACCATTTACTGAAGAGGCTTTCTCTTTTCCATTCTTTTTTTTTTTTTAGCTCCCTTATCGAAGATTAGGTGGCTATAAGTCTGTGGGTTCATTTCTGGGTCTTCAGTTCCATTCCATTGGTCCTCAGTTCTGTTCTTGTGCCAGTACCAAGCAGTTTTGATTTCTATGGCTTTGTAGTAGAGTTTGAAGTTTGGTATTGATATTCCTCCAGCACCCAGATTGGGAGAAGATCTTCACTAGCCATACAATGGACAAGGGCCTCATATCTAAATACTCAAAAAATTAAATCCCCAACAACAAATCCTCAAAGAAACAACCTCCCGATTAATAAGTGGTTTAAAGTCTTAAAGAGAGACTTCTCTAAAGAGGAAATAAGAATGGCCAATGGACGCATGAAGAAATGCTCAACTTCTCTAGCCATAAAAGAAATGCAAATCAAAACAACATTGAGATTCCACCTCACCCCAGTTAGAATGGCTCTTATCAGGAAACCTAATAACAACAGATGCTGGAGAGGATGTGGCCAAAAGGGAACCATACTGCGTTGTTGGTGGGAGTGTAAACTTGTTCAACCACTTTGGAAAGCAGTATGGAGGTTCCTAAAAAGACTCCACATAGAGCTTCCCTATGACTCAGCAATCCCACTTTTGGGCGTTTCCCCAAACGATCACAAAAAAGGCCATACTAAAGCTACAAGCACAACTATGTTTATGGCAGCATTATTCACCATAGCTAAGATATGGAACCAACCCATATGCCCCTCAGTGAATGAATGGATCAAGAAAATGTGGTATGTATATACAATGGAATTCTTATATCTCCATCAGAAAGAATGACACCATCCCATTGGTGTCATCCTATTGGAAAAAATTATGTTAAGTGAAGTAAGCCAGGCCCAAAGAAACATAGGTCCCATGGTGTCCCTTATTTGCAATAACTAGTATATGTCTAGGACAAGCAGAAAAGGTCAAAACCTATATACATATGACCATATAACCTGATGCTAAGCGAAATAAACCCCAAGATAGGGACACAGAGATTTTGTCTTTGTTGCTGTTGTTTTTAAAGTACTGTGTGGGTTGTTTTTGTGTGTGTGTTTCTTTTTCTCTCTTCTTTGTATGTTCTTCCCCCGTGGTATAGTGGTATATAACCTGTTGTGACTGTATTTGATTCCGGTGTCCTGCATCTTGTATATACATTTTTCTAATTTGGGAAGGGGAAAGAGAAATAACAAAATGCTAAAATAAGGATACAAGTTACCCATTGTAACAATGAGGTATAGAAGACACTATGTTGAAAATGAACTTTACAACTTTGGGCAAGGTGGTGGGGGGAGGTTGGGGAGATGGGGAGTAAAGGGATGGTAGGGGAAAAACAAAGGAGGAGGTAACAGTGCTTGATAGGAAATGAACTTACTATCTTGCTCATGTAACCCCTTTGTACCGTATCGTTACAATAAAATATGTATATATATATATAATTGAAAGAAATAGATTATTTACAAATAACAATATAGTGCCTGGTACTTCTAGGTTTAATAATAACTTGCTAGGAATCAATGAGCTATTTTAGCAAGACAGTACAAAGTAAAATCAGCTAAGAGGTAAGGGACTGGACAGACTAGCAAAAACAAGATTTCAAGAATCTTGTTCTAGTAGAGCCAAAGACTGTGCTTAATTCCACCAAAATCAAAATTGTGGCAACACCTGAACTCAGTGACATAGGCTTTTATTGGGATCTTTTTTTGGGAGGGGGGGGGGGTCCGGTGGTGGGGCCTGAACTCTGGGCCTGGGCGCTGTCCCTCAGCTCTTCAGCTCAAGGCTAGCGCTCTACCACTTGAGCCATAGTGCCACTTCTGGCTTTTTTCTTTTTGCTTACGTGTGCTGAGGAATCAAACCCAGGGCCTCATGCATGCAAGGCAAGCACTTTACCACTGAGCCAACTTCCCAGCCCTTTTATTGGGATCTTATAGGTATCCTCTACCTACTATATTCCAAGAATCCAGATTTCAAAACTATGTTTCCATTCAACATAAAGCATGTTGTTTGTGCAAAGAGTATGAACACAGTAAACCACGCTTATCATTCTAGTTCTAAAACTGGTAAGAATACTTTAAAAAATAAAATGAAGCATTTCTTAACAAACTCAGTCCTTCCATGTAACTCTTCTGGATGGTACAGTTAGCAAGAACTGGGGAATTACATCAGTACACCCTGGTATAGCCTCCTACCATTTTACAGATCATAAATCTCCTTTCCCAGAACTTGAGTTTTGTTTACTTTGTGTCTTGTTGACACAAATAATAACATTTTCATTGTAAGTTCAGTCATTGTAGGGTTAATTGCATTCTCCATGAAAAAGATAGGTACAAAAATAACAAATACCAGAAACAGACTGAAGATCTGTTAAATGGTGGGTGTGTTACATACAAATCTTTTCATATGGATTTGGCATAGTAGTTGGCATGGAGCAAATTCAGGTTGGGGGTTTTGGAACATAATTTTTTTTGTTAATAATGGAATATGAAACCTGTGGATCTGAAGGGCCACAGCTTAGACTGCTTGCCACCAACACCAAGGAAAACAGAGTCACAGATTATTGGTACTGCTTTCTAAATATTTGAGGTTAGCATAATAGTTTTTCTAATTATAGCAAAATTAATGCCCAATTTGTTTTCCTTTTCCCACTGCCATACGTACTTAAATTGGTTCTACTCTCCTGAATAAGTAACTAGAATATTGTCTACTGATTGCCTTAATATACCTGAACTCTGAATCATTTGAATATCCTTTCTATTGTTTGGCATCTTCCTTGATGTAAAAATTAGGAACTATGGGTTGAATATGTGTTCATACTGTTTTTTTACTGTATTTCTTCATTGAAGGCTTACATGTAGGCCTAATATAAAATAAAATGCATTGATTGAGGCTCTGTTGGCGAGAGGAGATTTTGAGAAAGAGACAAGATTCCAATACCTCAAATATTCTGAAATATTTCTTGCCCAGAATATCTCTCCTTGCAACCATATTCAGTCCCATTAGAAAGTCATTGCTTTAGCTTTTCTAACTTAAGGTAGATTTGTTTTATCCTTTCATTTTATATATTTTAATATTATATATGTAAAATGAATTCTGTCATTTAACATACTGTATTTTTACTTCAATTTATGTTAATAACATGTATGATTTGTAAATCACCGTTTTTAAAAGCTTTTACATGTATGTAAATTATTTAGTCCACAAAACAGTATCTTATATGTTGCTGCTCAGGTGTTGCCCTATGGTATATATATATATACATATATATATATATACACACATATGTACATATATATACATGTATGTATGTATGTATGAGAAACTTCAGTTTGTTGTTTCTCCAAAGAAAGTATATAAAGTCTAAGAATAGAACCTGGTTCCCATGGTTCCCACTCAAGCTTCTTTCCACTCTGTACTTAATAGATTAAGCATATGTTGAGATTTTCTAAAAGAAACCATATAAAGGAAATAGTTTTAATGATGTAATAGTTTGAGCACTGTACAAAAGAACTATACAATATTTAAAATGTTATGTTTATCTCTCATCATCTTTTCTTTATAGAGTATTGAATGCGTTACTTCCAGCCCTAAGAAAACAGTATTGCACACTGAAAGAAACTGGCCTTTCAAATAATTCTTTTGAATCTGATTTCAAAGAAATTGAACATTTAGTAGAGAGGAAAAAAGTGGTGATTTGGGCTGACCAAAGTACCGAACATCCAAAACAAAATGATATACCAGGGATTTCAGTTCTGATGACCTTTCCACAACTTGGGACAGCTACCCCTTCTTGTAAGTACTGGTTTTGTTTTAAGCAAATAATAACATTATTTCTAAAGAGATTCTTTATAAACTAATCTACAAGGCAGTTACTTTTTAAGAGACTCAGTTATTTAATGATAATTAACAGTAAATTAACTTCAAAGTCATTTCAAGTCACAAGTATCTTCCTAGGATCTAAGAGTAAGTATACATGAATGTTTTAAGTAAATCTACCAAATACCATTTTCTGAAGTAAAAGTTTTACTCCTGCCCTTCAAGTTTTAACTTTTATTAAAGACGAAACCTTATAACTGATAATGCTGTGTTCAGTAATAATAATCCTTTCATTAGATCAACTATCCCATATAGTTACTATTTTTATTGACATATCATTTCCTCTTATTTACTCTCAAAATTGTGTGAAGATATTAATTGCAAAGTTAATATATAATCTTGAATTAAGACAATGCAGACATTATATAACATGAAAAGTAAAGGCCCTCTTTGTCTCTCCTCAAAACATCAATTATCTCCTCAGAATTCTCTTTGAGATAATGGATGTTAACAGTTTTGTTATGTTTGCCTACACTTTCTTTATGTGTGTGTGTGTTACAAATATACTTTATTAGATCATCAGCTTTTCATTAGATTTCATATGAGTGGTAGGATATTTTAAATATTGGTCTGTAGTTTTTTCATTTATTTAGTTTATTACAAACATCTTTAGTATACTTACAGGAAGAATTTATTTCATTCTTTTTAAAGTACAAAGAATTCAGAGAACAAATATACTATAATTTACTTAATGTTCTCTTTATGAATAGTCTTATCAGAAAATATACTTGTTTGTATTTGTTAGAGTTTTCATTGTTCTGACTAAATATTTGAGAAAACACACTTAAAGTTAATTCGTTTTGACTCAGTTTCATTTGGTTCAGTTTGGTTGTTTGATCTCATGTACTGACCACAGAACATCCTAGTTACAAGAACACTTCATGAAGTAGCTTCTTAGTTTCATGGTGGACAGGAAGAAGACCAGATGTAGCCTTCAATGGCATGGCCCCATGACCTAATTATTCCAACTAACCCTACCTCTTAAAGTTTCCAGATCCTCACAAAGTAGCCCTAGCACCTGGAAACCAGTCTGTATTCATACCATAATACCATATGTTCACATGTATATATTCATATAGAAGATTCCTAGAAACTGAAACATGAAGTTGGCACATAGATAGATAGATAGACAGACAGACAGATAGACAGACAGAGATAGTGATATAGACAGATAAGTTTACACTGTGTTTTTCACCTCAGATTTTTTTTTCCTATAAGGATTGAACATCTCTAATCCAATATATAAAATCCAATATGCTGCAAAATCTGAAAAATGTTTTTGAGCTGACATGATAGTAAAAAAGTTTTGGATTTCTGAGATTTCACATCTTAAGCTTAAGGATCTTCAACCAGGGAAGTCTATTATAAACATTCCAAAAAAAAGATTCTGTTCCTACTAATTTAGGATAAAGGATCTGCCACCTAAACCTAATGTGCATAAGAGTACATGTGTTCATCTTTGCCAAACCCCCAAATACTGACACTAATATAGCATGTATTCTTTTAAGACCTGTAATTCTTTGATTGATTGCTAGTGGGATTATGGTTTCTGTATCATTTGCTATGTTTTATTAGTATTTTTTAATTTGTTTTAGGCTCAGGGTTTTTGTGTCATTTCTGAGAATCTGGCAACCTGCAGGTGTTTATCATCTCTTTACTCCCAATGCTCCCATTATTGCTGAGCTTTTTGTCACTTCCTCTGGCACCAGTGAAACAACCTCAAGGGGAAATTAGCTCTAATTTCAGAAATTACTTTCCTAAACTTCTACTTCTTCCTTTTACCTATTGTTCTTCAATCCGGGGCCTTCAAACAGATGGGATGTACATATATATATGGGAAATAATATATACATACATATATATATATATATATATATACATATTCCAGATTTTTTATTTCCCATCAGATGATAGGTTGGTCTGAATTAACTACATTTTTTTCTTTACTTTAAAATAAAAGGGAAATTTAATACATTCTCTTCAAAAAAAAAAAATCTCACTCTCTATACCTTTTGAGCCTAGGGTTAATTCCTTCTCTGTAATATATTCAAGATGTTGAAAAGGAAATAGGACTTAAACACTGACTGACCACCTGCTAGTTGATGCTCATTATTCCTTATTTTAAAATACATATTTCATGCATAGTACAACTGAATATATACTTGGCAACAATGAAACAAACATTTATTTGGTTCTTAATTCTTTTTCATAATATTTGCAAAAGGAAAGATTACTGAAGTCATGTTAGGTTTTGTATGTATTTTCTTTGGAAAACATAAGAGAATGGGTTTTGTTTTTATGTTTTCTTGATTTGTTATTTTACATGATTTTGTTCAAATGATTTTAGAAGTTAACTATTTACTTGGTGTGTCTTGTTTACTTAATGAATTATGAATGTTTTGTGCAATTATAAGCACAGTCAAATAATATCAGGAAGGGTTTCATGACTCCACTTACTGTTTTCATTTGAAGCATAACGAGAATAATTTATACTTGGATTTCTAAAGACATGAAACAATACCCAGATAGTATCTGTTTCTAAAGTAATATTGTAAATGTTAATCATGACCATTTAAAGATAAAATGTGCCTAATACAAGTCAAATGTATCTCACTTAAGGCTACACATGTCATTGACTTTTGTGTGCATAATCTCTTGAACCAGGTATTAATTGGTTTTGTTACTGCTTTAGGATTTGAATTTATTTCAAGTTCCTTAAGAACTTTTGTATTAGGTTCATTGTTTTTCTTTAACTTGCACATAGCCATTCTGTGGTTTAAAAAGTTTGGTTAGATTAACCACCACTATTAATCTAGCCTGTACTCCAATATTAGGAATTTAAGTTGTTTGATAAATTACTACTACAAATAGTATTTCAGTAATAAGCCTATATATTTATCCTAGTGATTATGTCTGATTATCCTGTGATAAATTCCCAAAAGTTGAATTTTCTTGCTTGGGGTGAATGTATCTATTTCAGTATGCAACATATGCCAAGTAACTCCTCCCCTATGTGATTATCTCAGTTCCCATCAGGAGTATAGGAGGAGTTCCTCTTTTTATATCCACTTCCTGTTAGTGTTAACATAATTACAGTTTTGACATTTTATTAATGAATTACTAATATGGATAAAGAGTTCAAAACGGAACTCTATTATGACAAGTACCAGCAGCCTAACTTATTTCAAAGTAAATTTCACACCCATTATTTCTTATATTTAGAGATATCGGATATCTCTAAAAGAAAGTGTGATACCCTCTTTACTCCTAAGGTTGCCAAATATCTAATCAAATATCAGTGTTCATATTCCTCCATTGTCATACAAGTGATTCGTTGCTACCATTTGTTCATATTGAAAACCAAAGAGTTGTTTTACAGTTAACAAAGATATCTGTCCTTGCCAATTCTTGATTTTCTTTTTGCCAATTTAATAGCAATTAATACTATCCTTTCCACTTTTATTTGCTAAAAAGTCTGTGAACTTTTATATTTGTATAAGTGTGTGTTAATTTTCTAGTATAGTTTTCATTAGAAAATTGTTTATTTACAAAATCTTAAGAATAAAAATATTTACTTACTCAGTAATAATGAACTTCTACCATTTGTCAGCTACTTACTTTAGGCTAATAAATGCATCATGCTATAAACCTAACTCTTAAACATTCATGGAGCTTCCTCAAGGTCTGGCTATCCCTTAGCTTTTTGGCTCAAGACTGGTGCTCTACCAATTGAGCCACAGCTCCACTTTCTAGCATTTTTTCTTTGGAGATTGGAGATAAGAATATCACATGTTTATCTGCCTGTGCTGGCGTCAAACCTCCACCCTCAAAGCTCAGCTTCCTGAGTAGCTAGGATTATAGGCATAGCCACCAGCACCTGGCTAGAATTTATTTTGAAAGTAAAGCTAGCAGAATTTCTGGACAAAATAGACTTGGGATTTTTGAACTGGACATCTGAAAAAATGGGGTAAATTTAAACAAGATAATAAAGAGTTTTAAGTAGAGTAAGCTTTACAGGAGGGAGGTAAGAAATCGGTAGTTCAGTTTGGATCATGTTAAATGTGTCTCCAATACATGCAAGTGGAGACATCATGTAGGCAGTTAAGAATTTGAAGTTCAGGAGAGAAGTCTATGCCAAAATACAAATTTCAGAAAAGTTAACATTTTCATGGTATTTAAAGCTACAGGAGTAGATGAGATCACCATGGGATATTTACTCTTTGCTCTACTATACATGGTGCAATTACATCCTTGAAATTTAATTGTTTACCTTATTTTTTATTGGGGGTGAAGGATTACTGTGGATGGATTCCAAGGCTACCATTTAAGCCATCATTTACTCTTAACTTTTAGGTGTTCCATTTAGTGTTGAAATTTTAAAACTTTTCTCAAAGTTTGGAAACATTCTTCAAAAGGCTTTTCCATACATAACATGCGTCTTCCCTTTTCTCCTTGTTTTTAGTCAGTTGTGGGGCTTAAACTCAGGACCTGGGCACCATTGCTGAGCATTTTTGGTCAAGGCTCTACTACTTTGAGCCACAGTTCCACTACCAGTTTTCAGGTAGTTAGTTAGAGATAAGAGGCTGATGTCCTTTCCTACCTGAGCTGGCTCTGAACCAAGATTCTCAGAACTCAGCTTCCCAAGTAGCTGGGATTAAAGTAGCTAGGATTACAAGCATGAGTACCCAGGCCAGTGCCCAGCTCCTAATATATTATTGTATACGGTGACATACTCTTAAGCTCTCTTTTTCTAAGGAGCCTATTCTGTGTATGTGTGTGTATACTCAGACACAGTTTATCCTTACTATATCTTTGTTTTATATATACTACATAGTAACACAATTCTATTTATTGAATTTCTATTCTCTTAGCCCATTTATCTATGTAGAATTAATAGATGCTATTTTAACATGACA